GTTGGGAAAAGGTCCGTCCTGAGGCGTGTACGTTTACGCGGGACGATGCCGTCCCTGACGAGGTGACGATGCCCGGCCTGACGAGGTGTCGATGCCTGACGTGGTCAGAAGACCGTTGGCCTGATGCGTTTTACGCGGGCGCGAGAAGGAAAGTGTGTGTAGGATTCCGTCCTGAGGCGTGTACGTTTACGCGGGACGATGCCGTCCCTGACGAGGTGACGATGCCCGGCCCGACGGGGTGACGATGCCTGACGAGGTCAGAAGACCGTTGGCCTGATGCGTTTTACGCGGGCGCGGTGGTGGTGGAAGAGTTGAGAATGAGCGGGAATTGGCTTGAGGTGCGAGGTTTGAGAAAGTGACGCGTGGTGTGAGTTGGTGTGCGAGTGTGTTTGTATCGCGTGGTGTGATGCTCGATTATGGGGTAAAAACTGCTAGGCATGGTATGGGACGTGCCCAAGTGGGTTTTGCTCTATATAATCGGGGCACGCAGCGCGGCTGTGATGTATTTTCTGTGGCATACTGGCTGTGTGGTTGACTAACGTGTAGGGACATGCATGAGGAATTCCAGGTAGGGTCGCGTGTGGTTGCTAGTTTGGTTGATTGTTGTGTGTTATGCATGTTTCGTCTGGCGGTACGTGAGTGCCTACGTGCGGTTTAGGGTTGTACACTTATTGAGATTCGTCTCACGGTTGTATAACCGCCACTTTCAGACCCCCAGCCTTAGACCCAGGAGGCCCGCCTCCTCTTTTTGGAGTTTCGAGGAGCCGTCCCGGTTGCCCAGTGGAGTTGCAGGCGATGCCTAAGAAGTCTTCCGGAGGATCGAACCAAGCGAAGTAGGAGCATGAAGAAAGGAGGATGAGCCCTAGGTTTTTCCTAGGGTATTATAGGGGTTGTTCAGACTAGTTTGACCAGTAGTGAAGTTAAGTTAACCAGACCCTGATATTTCGTTATGACGGTGATTTCGGATGCTGGTTTGCTGTATATGTTTGTAACATAATGCTTGTATATTTGGTGCTGTATGACTATGTTGTTGTTTGATCGTTATGGTGTTCTACCCTGTTGTCGTCATCTTTTTGTCCGGGGTTTTTAATATCCGCTTCCGCATGTGGCTCTGATGTTTGGGTTGGGTCGGCGACGTTCCTAGGATGTCGCATCATTTCGACCGGAGCGGGGGATGTAGCGAGCTCGTAGGGGTTCGGGGCGTGACAGGCGAGGTCGAGCCCTCGCCCGATCTGGCGAGGCCGGCCTCGCCCAGCCCAGGCGAGGGCGGCCCTCACCCGATGCCGGCGAGGGCAGCCTCACCTGAGGCCGGCGACCTCCGCCGGCCCCGGCTATGGCCGGCGGAGGAAGAAAAGAAAAAAAAAAGAAAAGGAAAAGGAAAAGAAAAAAACAGAAAAGGAAAAACAGAAAAGAAAATAAAAAAAAATTAAAAAATTACTGTTCCGGTGACGGAACATTATTCAATATAAATTGTAATTAAAATATAAATTGTAATCAAATTTGGGGACAAAAAGACAAGAGAGAAAGAGAGGGCTTGAACTTAATAAATTATCATTAAGCACATTACAATTCGTTACAACGATCTATAAAAAAAAGGAGCACAATATATATGCCCTAAAATGATCCCAAAACCTAAGCATTCCGTGCGCAGGGGACCAGAGGTCACATGTCGTCGGATTATACTTCGGTTTCCCTAAGCTCACGTGGGCGTACCCGGTATGAGAAACAAGGGTTCCCGAAATATTTACCAACTCCAATAGTTCTTTTACCCTCAATCGTCACTACCCGTTCTAGTACCGGTACCGGTACCTGTAGCGGTAGTATCTCCGTCGTCGTTAAAGAATTCGGATTCATTATTCCGATCTATCTCTTGTTGCCGGTATTGAGCCTTCGTCCAATCAGCAACACAAGCTTGAATCTCCATCGATTCTGGAGCTAATCTTGAACGATGTTCGTCCAAAATATTACCTCCAGCCTTGAATGCTTGTTCGACCGCAACGTGGAACAAGGGGTTGAAAAAATCTGTTTTGCAATAAGAGAAAGGATTGGGTATTGGCTTGCGTGCCTCTTCCACCAATCCAAAATTAAAAAATCTGTACCACCTTCGGATTCAGTAAACTCAAATGAAACGGTTGGATAAATCTCTAATTCAGAAATATTTCCTATTACTCCTTTTTATTTTTTTTGTCTATGTAATAAAAGTTGGTACCCTCTACTAATTTTACCTGTATTGTCATTTTGTATCTCCGTAGATTGAGAAGATCTAATATCACCTAAATTATATTTAGTATAAAATTCATTATATATTTCTATTACTACGTTTTTAACCTCACGTACGATGATTGTAACATTTATCGCATCATAATGTAAACATTGATAATACGTACGCAAAAAATCATTTAAGCCATCCAATTTGCAACGCGGATAAAAAACACAAGCAACTAAATAAATAATGGGAATTTCGCTATAATAATGTAGCCACTTCATTTTCATTGCAACGATAGTATGTTGTAATTCAACATCATTTTTATATTCATCAAAAATTCCGACAATATTAGTACACTCTACTAAAAATAAATGTGTAGTAGGATAATAAACACCGGACAAAGTATAAGTTGCATCATTAAAAACCTTTAAAACATCTAAATTTTTTTGGTAAATATCCCACTCTTGTGGGTATAAATTAATATGAGGTATATTATTATAAATGAATGCACATAATAAATCTTTTATATGCTAAAGATTCACTAAGCAAGTGAAAAGTAGAATTCCAACGAGTTGGAACATCTCTTGGAAATCTTTTTGGTTTTTTGCCATTTTCTCTACAAAATCTACCCCATTCTTTCATTTTTTGGGATGTTTCCATAAAAATTGAATCGCCGTTTTTATTGGTTGAAGAAAAATATCAAAAGTTTTCAAACCATCTTGTACACATAAATTTAAAACATGACAAGCACATCTAACGTGAACAATTTTTCCGCCAAAAGCGAGTTTACAAATATTTTCTAAATCGGCAATTGAAGCGGTATTTGCTGCGGCATTATCAAAACCAATTGAAAATTTTTTGTTAAACAAATAATATTCTTCTAAAACTTGCCTAATTATTCTATAAATATTATTTGCCGTATGTTTATCATCGAAAACTCTAAATGCAATAACTCTTTTTTGAATACTCCACTCGTCATCTATCCAATGACATGTTATGCCCATGTAAGAATGATTTTGCCAATGATCACTCCAAATATCACTACCTATATGCACGCATCCATTAAATTGCATAAAAAAGTTTTGTAAATCTTTTTTTCCATTTTTGTAAAGATCTTTAATTACTCGTTTAGTTGAATTTCTAGGAACACGTTTTGCTTGTGGAGCACATGCTTTTTGTACAAATTCATTAAAATCAAATCTTTCTCCAAAATTAAATGCTAAATGCTCAACGGAAATAAATTTGCCTAATTCTTCCTTATAAGTTTTTTCATTAAAACGAAATAAAGGGGAAGTGTTAGGACTGACGTACCCGGAAATTTGTTGTTGCCCGATATCGATTCCCGTTTCGGTTGGATGTTTGCTCCTAAGATGTCGTTTAAATGTTCAATATCCTTGTCCACCTGTATATTTATATATTTTCCCACAATATTTACAAATTATATCATACCTTTTTTGACCAATATCAAACCTTTCCATTTTCGTGAAGTGATTCCAAATGTCAGATGTAAATTCTCGTTCCGCTTCCTTTGTTGTAGATATTTCGGCAGGAGGATGAAAACTTTCTTGCGTCGGGACGCGCTCCACATCGGGAAAAATGTTGATTTCATCATCTTGAAAATCTGCATATTCACGAGGATCAAAAGAATGATGGGATTCCGTCATGATATTCTTACCTTTGCCAGTTGGCACTCGACTTCCACTTGCCATTTTTTGAGTGGATTGAGAGAATTGAGCGGATTAATTGGGAGAATTAAGAAAGAATTGCGTGGATTGAGAAAATTGAAAGAATTTAAGAGAATTTGAGAGAATTTCGAGTATTGAGAAAATTTGAGACTTAAGAGAAGAGAATTTGAGAGAATTGTGAGTATTGAGAGAATTTGAGAGAATTTATAAGAAAAAAATGAGAAGAAAAGATAACCGTTGCAATTTTGCAACGGTTATCTTTTTTTTTTTTTATAAATTTTTGCCCGTTTGGGCGTTGGCCTTGGCCGTTGCCAGCGCAGCCTAAAGGGCAACGGGCCGCAAGGCGCAAGCCCGCTGCAGGGCCTGCAGACGTGCAGGCCCTGCTGCGGGGTTTTTTTTTTTTTTTTTTTAAATTTGCCCGCAGCAGGGCCTGCAGACGTGCAGGCCCTGCTGCGGGGGGGGGGGGGGTTTAAAAAAAAATTTTGCCCGTTGCCAGGGGCTGCCTTGGCAACGGGCCGCAGCAGCACTACAACTTCTTTTTTTTTTTTTTTTTTGAACCGGGCCCGGAACCGGCGGTTCCAAGCTGGTTCAAAAATTTCTGGAACCGGAACCGAGCCCGTAGGGCACGGGCCGGTTCCGGTTCCGAACCGTGGGCCCGGTCAACGGGCCGGGCCCAGGTTTGACCAGGCCGGTTCCGGTCCAGTTCCGGGCCGAAACCAGCCCGTGGCCACCACTAGTAATGTGTATTTTGTGCCGTAGTTACTCCCTATTTCGGTTTTAAGTTATGACCTTTAAGGAAGTTTCGACAATTAGGATATCAATTCCGGCCGAAAAGCAGAAGTCTGGACTCAAAACTTAGAAAAAGATTCTACCGCTCGGCTCATAGAATCATGAGGTTCGCGCATCAGCAGCTGAAGAAATCTTCAGCAATGAATTTCGAAGATGCGGACCGCAGATTACTTACTTCTTAACAAACAGAACAATCCCTTATCCAACATAACCACTAGAAAAGACGTGCAAAGGTGCAAATTCACATATGCACCAAAGAATTGAATGCGGATTCAGTGAGGAGGAGGTGCACCACCCTTGTAAAGTCGAAACATTCAATCTCATATTAATTATCGCAGATCGATTGGATTGAAAGCCAAACAGCTAGAATTCAGATCAACAGAAGTAGCCACAATGGAGTCCATCAAACCGACACAAATAATGACTTACACACCCAAGCCAACAACAAAATTACCGCCAATCACAACGAATAAGAGAATTCGCTACGCCGCAAGCATATGCCCCCAATAATGTGACCTGCAATTTCTACCGGGCATAGGACACCTAAGACGATATGCAGCCAAACTTATACATTCGAAATCGCGCGTAGGTGGAACACGGCGCAGCTTCAAGTAAATGAGCCGTCTCCTGAACCCCCTGAAAACTAGATCTTGTCGAGTTTATCAGCCTTGACAACTGGGTTGGCCTTGGCAATGGCGTTTCGCGCAGCAGTTCTATAATCAAACGGACAATCATGTTTGTCGGAGTAGCGGTGGGCTGCACAGAAGAGGCTGCCGCACTTGCAGTTGAACCCAGTCAACCCCACCCGCTTTTGGCAGGACGCACACCTTTTAGGACCCTCATTCACTTTCGTCTCCATGCCATTGCTCGAAGATGAACCAGCTGAGAGTTCAGTTGAAATGACTTTCGCGTCAACCGAGCCAGCTTGCAAGTCCAAAATCTCACTTGCCACAGGTTCTTTCCCATTTTCACTGGAACTACCCTTCACAATGCTCTCAAGTGACGATGCGGCTGCTTGTGCCTGTTCCTGCTTCAACATCATGTCCTTATGGCACTTCGAGCACATATTGGCGGTGGCAGCACTTCCAAAGAAGCCACAGTTGTTAACACAGAGGATTGGGCCTTTTGGAGCCTGGCATCCCGTCTCATCGTGAGACTCCATTGTCCTGATCTCCGGCAAATAGACTGCCTATAATCCCTCAGACACACAAAAGCAGAGTTACAGAAATCCAACAATTTTCACCAATCAACATAAACAAGCACATATACATACATCAAACAGCATTAGCATGAACAGGAAATGATCACGACCGCTACACAGAAAATTTAGTAAAAGCACCAACCCAGTTGGTTTGAGATGTTTCAAATCACAATCAACACTTCATTCCTCAAATGTCCACCAATGGTGAACCAGAAAGGAAAAACCTCTAGGCTCCACAGCTCGCCTCCAAAAGAGCAGTTTGATATTCTCAGTCCCCCCCAAACCCACCAGCAAGTCGAGAGAAAACTTTTAACAATTAAGATGGCTAAGTCACCGTCCGTAGTAACCATCAGACTGAGGGACATATTGTCACCACTGGACATAATTCACGCACCCAGACGAAGTGACTGGCGATGCTGAGTAAAAATAAGGCTGCTAGTATCCCAGATTGCAAAAGAAAGACAGACACACACACACACACAAGAGCAGTGCCAGTGCCACCTAAAAGACCGCATAACAGCAGAACAATCCGAACCAGAACCCAGAATAGCACGAACACGAACTATCCTACAACTATGTTTTTCCGACAAACTCAGCAACGACTCAACTAAGAAAACCCCCCAAAACCACAAGCCGCTTCAACGATTGCGTCCCAATTACCCTAAGACGTCACGACCAAACCCACCCAGAAAACAGCCGAGCGGATTCAGACCACCACAAACCCAACAGCACACGCGCGAGCAAACGAATACCATGGAACGGCAATTCCACGAAACAAGCATCGCAAGCCCTCGCGACAGAAAAGCTACGATTTTTTTTCTCACAAAAAACCAAGCAAACTGCAGACCGAGAGAGAGAGAGAGAGGGATAGGGATAGCCCCGGCCTACCTGATCCTTGCCGATCTCGCTCGACCAAAATCGAAACCACGGTCCAATCCCTGCCACGCCAAAGAACGCCCCCCAAAAAAAATTCAATTTTTAGCCCCCCAAAACCAAATCGAACCCCGCAAAGAAAAATCTGGGAAATGAAGAACAGAGAAGCTTCGAGGAGAAGATTACCCCGAGGACGCTGATCGACACAATCCGAGGGAGCGAGACCAGCGAGGATCGCTAGAGAGAGAGAGAGGGGGACGTTTGCGAAGAGGGGTTCTTCTTCTTCTTCTTCTTCTTCTTCTTCTTCGTATTGTCTCTCTCTCTCTCTCTCTCTCTCTCTATCGTCTCGATGAGGCGTATATATTATACAGAAGAGAGAGAGAGAGAGAGAGAGAGAGGAGGACTTCTCTTACTTTTTCTCTGCCAACAAACGCTTTCCACCGAGCCGGGTACACACCCCCCCCCCCCCACTTACCACGATGCCCCCCGCCAGCCTCGCTAATTGCGGTTCTGCCACTGCCATCCCTGTGACGTGGCCGCCACGCGTCGGGATCCCGACGGGGACGGTGGGGGTGGGGGTGGCGCCCCATGCGGGGGCGCACGTAGTCTCGGTCGCGGGCGGAGAGGAAAAATGATCGTCATCATCGTCCCCGCTACTCGCATCTGGGCCGTCGGTCGTCGCATCGCGAGATTGGCCCCCGCCCTTCCGGTCCTGATCCGACTACCACCTGCGGATCTCGACGAACGGACGGCTCGCGTGAGTTGATAGCTTGGGCTCGGGCTGTGCGTTGTCTGGTGCGCGGCGGATGTGCGCGGAGCTAGTTTTTCACAGGGAGCACAAAGACGTGTCCGATTTTTTTCCTTTTTTCTTTTGTTTTTCCTTCGGCTTTTTCCTTTTTTCTTTGCATTTGTTTTCTTTCCTCATAAGGAAAACCCTTTTTTTCCCTATTAAAAAAATATATTTTTTAAATTTTTTTCCTCACGAGGGAAACAGTACATGGGTCGATTAATTCTATCCTGCCCTTATAATCTATACTTAGGTATCGACATGAGATTTATTATATAGGCTTTAATTTTTTTTAACGCAATCCGACGTAATTTAATATGATAGAAAATATCGAATCGACGAGCGAAATTGATCGCACGCCGATTCGTGCGATCATACGTGATTTTGAATGTGCACGGGAAATCGAACTTCATTAATTTGAGCAAGAGAGTGGACCCAAGATAATCGAGACGAAACTGAAAGATGCGATTCGACTCGAAATCAAACTAACTTTTCGGGTGTGCTAATGAAACCAGTGACATTTTCATCTATAGAGCTTCTTGATCATAAATATTGATCTTGCTTCTCTTGTGACGCAGTTGAACGGTTTGTACTGAACAACAATCAATCTAGACACTAATAAGCATAAGAATATTTCTCAAATTTGTACAAGCATTCATTTAGGCATTTTAACGAACACACATTGTGTTTGTTTGAAGACGAGATCTAGATGCAGCATCGAAGATGGTGTACGAAGAACAACATAAAAAAAAACAAAGCATTGAATATTTACTTCGATGAGATGCAATTGCGATCACGATCGGCCAAAACCAGAGCAAGAGAGAGGGAGGCGAGAGTCGAGACTCAATATGAGACCACAAGAGAGAGGCGTCGAGCGAGAGGGACGCTAGTGACTCGAGTGAGAGAGTGGCGTCTGAGAATCGAGCGAGAGAGTGACTAAGAGTCGAGCTAGCGTAGGCATCGAGCGAAAGGGACGCGAGCGACTCCGGCAAGAGGGTGGCATTTGGGAGTCGAGCGATCGTAAGAGGTGTGAAGATGAAGAATGCCATTAGGGTTTGTGAAAGAGCGGGGAACGTGAGGCTCACAATAGGAGACGAGCAAAGGGTAAGAGTCGTGCGTGTTTAGGGCTTTTTACATATTTGTAAGAACTTAAAAAAAAAAAATCAGTCCGATGCAAGTGGTCCAGGTAGAGGTTCCACACATGAAACCGGGAATCAGACTAGTGCCCCGAAAATCACTTAGAACCTGCCAGTTCGGTTCAATACGGGCCGCTCTACCATTGAGCAACCGAGGAACAACACGAGGAGATTAGATATCGTAGAATTCAATTCCCATTCTCAACTCATAATTAATACGAGTTCAAAGTTTTCTTTATAACTCTCGAAACATTCTTCGTAGTAACTTCGTTCCATGGAATTACATAAACATCACTGATGGCTACATCATATGCGGTGCATCCAATCTACAGATTAACACACGGACAAAGAAAAATATCGGGCCCGTTCGAAGTATGAATTCACTCATAAATTTCGAACATCCCGTAATGAGCACAACACCTTCGTAATAAGTTATTGGGATAATGACACAAATAGTCCCTGAACTTTGACTTAATGTGCAATTTAGTCCCTGAACTTTTAATTTATTCAATATAGTCCCTGAACTTTAACATAATGTTCAATTTGATCCCTGAACTTTTAATTTGTTCAATGTGGTCCCTGAACTTTTAATATGTGTTCAATTTAGTCCCTGAACTATATGAAAATGTTCAATATAGTCCATGCACTTGAATTAACTGAAGGACTATATTGAACATTTTCAAATAGTTCAGGGACTAAATTGAACACATATTAAAAGTTCAGGGACTACATTGAACAAATCAAAAGTTCAGGGACCAAATCGAACATTAGGTTAAAGTTCAGGGACTACATTGAACAAATTAAAAGTTCAGGGACCAAATTACACATTAGGTCAAAATTTAGGGACTATTTGTGTCATTTCCCTAAGAAAAGGAGTCATTTGCGCCGGTCTCCACCCTATCCTTGTTATAACCAAACAAGAGAATTTAGAAAGCCCGACGTGACGACGAATCGAAAAGAATATGCCCATATATCGATGCTTTGCACAGAGCGGGGAACGTTCCACTTGGACGGTCCCAAACTGAAAAATGGAAGGACATCTCTTTTGAAAGCACCCAAATGACAGAGTAGATATCGTACCATTCTAAATAAATTTGCAAGAGGAGTCCCACCATATATGCCTCGGTTAGAATATCATCACGAGCACCTTTTTCGATGACAAATTACATAAAAGCCTTCAACGTATTACACAGATGTCAATTCAGCTTTAAATTTTTTAAATTTAGCCAATTTAATCTTACTCTATTGATAATTGCCAATGTAGTCATTCCGATCAATTTTTAGCCGGAAATCGCTGATATGGACACCGGCCGTCCTGCGTGGCACGATCGATACTGACGTAGACAAAATTTGCAAAATTTTTAATGATTGTTCTGAATTTTTCCTTTTTTTTCCTTTTCTTTTTTTCACCATTTTTTTTACTGTGGACTGGCGAGGGTCACCGGTTACAGCGACGGCCCGCAACGGCCCTCGGCTCTCACCCACCTAGGGTCGGCGACCTCCACCGACCATCGCCAAGGCCCCGGACCAATGAAGGGAAATAAAGAAAAAAAAAAGAAAGAAAGAACGAAAGGGAAAAATGGAAAAGAAATGTAAAAATTCGTCCATGTTAGCATAGGCCATACCATGTAGGACGACCGACATTAACATTAGCGATTTCCAGTCAAAATTGGCCGGAAAGACTACGTTGACAAATCGTTAAAAGGTTGAGGATTAATCCAAATTAAAATGTTTATAACTGAGTTGGCATCTGTATGATAGATATAAGACTTTTTGGATAATTTTTCCTCGATTATTTCAATTAAGAAATCCCTAATTTTCTATGTTCAAACCATACTTAATTTTAACTTGGTTGAATGACCATTTCAATATATTTGATAAATGTAGTTTGAAAGGAAGAAAAGAGATTTAATAGTTACAAGAGAAAAGAAGAAAAAGAAAATGAAATGATTGAGTTATGACATTTTTAAATGTTGGTGAAGGAAATGAATGGGAAGTAGCACAAAACAACTTGTTTAACCGGAATTGAATTGATAATGAAATACATTTCGATACATCCAAAAAGATGTTCCATCAGAATTGAATTGACGACGAAATACCTTTTGAATATATATGAATAGATAAGTGAATTGACAAAGTATAGAATGGTCCATCTTGATTTTGGATAATAAAGTAAACAATAAGAAATTTAAAGGTATAAAGGCCAAAGGCTACAAGGTACTTTTCCGCCATTTAAAGTATACAATGGACGGTTATAAACGGTTATAAGATTTAAAAAGATACTTTTCTAATTCTATCTTTAAAACAAATAACTTCCTAATCCTCCACAGTTAAATAAGTCACAACAATACTTATTTAAAATGAGTCACAAAGAATATCGCTACTAGATAGCCGATGATTTCATCCCCAGTGAAAATTCTTCATCGATAAGTTGTCTATACTCTTCAAGTTATGAATTATTTTTTAAATTATTTTTTTCATCAATAACTTCTATTATTTACCAAAGGCTATCATTATCAACTAAGACTCTTACTTATCGATTATATTTTTAAGTGTCAACACAACTTAAAGTCCTTTTCTATATATTGAAATACAAATTAAAAAAAATAAGAATACGGCTAATAAAGAAAAAAAATACTAATTAACGACACGAATCCGTTCCAAATCTCTTCGTATTCGAAAGGGTTATACCATATAAAATAAGCTAGATACAAGGATGAGCATTCGGGACGACTCAACATTGAACCAATCCGAGTTTGCCTTACCCGATAGATTCTAGGCCAATTCACGTGGGCACCGAACAACGAAATAAAAAAAATTGAGGAACTAATCTCGACATGAATCCTCGATTCTACTAGATTGGTTTTTGAATCGATTTTCAACTTTTTTTACTTTGTTCAACAAAAAAAGATAAAAATATGAAAACAGCTTTCGAATCTGAAAAGCCTAAGGTGCCGCATGGTAACCATTCTGATTCAGTCTAGAATTGGTTTTTTGTTCCCAAAATCAGTTTTGGATTAAAAATCCGTTTGATAACGCAATTTCATTTTTCTATTTCTGGGACAAATTTTTGTTTCAGAATCGATTTTGAACCAGAAATCAGAACAAAAAAAAAGTCAATTTTTCATTTCTTGAACAAAAGTCAGAATCATTTCTGAGGAACTCGTTCTCTTCAAAATCTGTCATCTCTCCTCTCGTCTCCTCTCATCTCTCTGATCTGGAAGCCCGTCTCTCTCTGTACTCTCTCTCTGTCGCCGTCGAGAGGAAGCCACAGCCGCTCGCTCGCTCCGGCCGAGAGGAAGCCAGGGCCGCTCGCTCGCTCGCTCCTGCTCCACGTAAGCTCCGATCCTGCGCTGGATCTCCTCTCATCTCTCTCTTTTCTGGATTTGGAAGTCGCCGTGATCGGGGGGTCAGCTTCGACCTCGCCATGGCCGCCGGTCGACGATCTGGGCGACGGCGAGGTCGACCGATCTGGGGGAGGCCGAGCGGCCTCGCCCTGGTGTGGCGGTCGACCTCGCCGTTGCCCAGATCTGGGCGACGGCGAGGTCGAGCGGCGGCCATGGCGAGGCCGCTCGGCCTCCTCCAGAGGAGGCCGAGCGGCCTCTGGCAGAAGGAGGCCAAGATCCTCTTCTTGGGGCTCGACAATGCCGGCAAGACCACGTTGCTCCACATGTTGAAGGACGAGGTCGTTCGCCGTCTCGTTGTCTCGTTGTCGTTGCTTACGATTTGATGTGATTTTTGTTGTTGTTGTTGGGATTGTCAATGACGATTTCGGAATGTGGGTTTTTTTTTTTTTTTTTTAAGAAAGATGTTTTCTTTGGACGAATTTGCAGAGATTGGTGCGGCACCAGCCGACGCAGCACCCGACATCTGAGGAACTCAGTATTGGGAAGATCAAGTTCAAGGCTTTTGATCTGGGGGGTCATCAGATCGCTCGCAGAGTTTGGAAAGATTACTACGCAAAGGTGTGATCTTTATCTTTCTTTTTTGATCAAATCTTTTTCCCACGGTAGAACCAGATTTCTTAGTGCATCGGTTATGTTGCTGATCCGGACCAAAGTGTCTGCTGATGACACGATGCTTTCACGAATTTGCCTTTTTGCTTTTTGCGAATTATGAAACATATCTATGCATCTATGTATGAATTTTCAGCTGGTGTTTGTGGATAGTCTTGCACTGGGAAATCACCATGGGTTGCTTTGGATTCGGCTAGATGCACAAGTTTTGGCATGTTTTCCTATTCATGGGGTTACAAGAGTGTTTCTCTGTGGACCCTGATGGTTTTGTGCTCATAATATCCCGCCTCGATTTTCAGCCTTTTAAAACCAAAAAGACGAAAGTGATCCCGGGTATAGATCTGTTAGCTCGTGTCATGTCTGAATCTCATTGTCTTGATTGAACTTAAAACTATTGCCATTCCATCTTTGGACTTCTCTTTCACGGTAGGCAATGAGAACAACTGAGGCTCCACCAATGGCTACCCTTGGACTTGCTAGCGTTCTTCCACTGTCAGCTGTCTAGTAGACTACATTCTGTCATTCTGTCCAATATCTAGAAAAACAATCTTTATTTTTCTGTCTGTTACTTTGAATGCGACTAAGGTATTGGATTGGCCCTTTATCCCTATTTTAGTGAACCGACAATTGCTGAGTGTCGGTTGTGCCATTAGTGAAATGCTTGTGACAGCTGGTTTCTTGAAACCGGACTTGTTGCATTTGAATCAAGTAGGTTATATCCATGGACATGCTTCTTCTTTGCCCCATGAGTTTGGAAAACGGGAAACTATTTCTTCAACCAAAAAACTAATATCGGTGAAGAGAGTTCTTTGCTGGGTTAAAAGGTGGTCATCTGCGACCATGACCGATGGATGCAGCAGATAGAGTGCTTGAACTTTTAGTGAAACGGATTTATTTGTCAACTATATTAGTTTATATAGATCATATGGGTGAAGATGATAGTTTACATTATCTGCCGAGGATGAGAGGAGAAGGTTATTGCACTACAAAGTGGAAGTGTTTAACCCTATGGCTCTCAATTTAGTAAACATGGATCATCGATAGCAGTTTTAACTCGAAAAGGTACATATATAGGCAAAGAGCTTTTGTTCATTTGCATCTATGTTGCCGAGCTTCCTCCTGTGCCATCATTTCATTTAGGCCAGAGACGATGTGCCAGTCAATGACTTTCAACTCCTTTTGTCTTCTAGTTTACAAATTTAACTCTGACAACTCTTTTGCGCACATTTTCAAATGAGTTTGATATCAAATGATTGATCTTCCGAATTTTCTTCTCTAGGTTGATGCAGTGGTATACCTGGTGGACGCCTACGACAAGGAGAGGTTTGCGGAATCAAAGAGGGAGCTTGATGCCCTCCTTTCAGATGAAGCTCTTGCGACTGTGCCTTTCCTCGTGCTCGGGAACAAGATAGATATCCCATATGCGGCTTCGGAGGACGAGCTACGGTATCATCTAGGGCTCACCAACTTCACGACCGGCAAAGGGAAAGTGAATCTTGCATATCAGACTGTTAGACCCCTCGAAGTGTTCATGTGCAGCATCGTCCGCAAGATGGGTTACGGAGAAGGGTTCAAGTGGATTGTAATTGCTTTTTCATTTTGAGACACATGCCTTCATTTTCAATTCAAAAGCAGTCATGTATTGTAATTGCATATTATGCTATTCATAATTACATCCGTGATCAAGACAAGATGGATAAGAACTTTTCCCAATATGGTGATTCAGAGTATCCGTTTGGAAGTGCACAAGATGAGGTTATCGACGATACATCGACTGAAGAGGATATCGAGATCAACATGCTTAAGAAAAGAATTGCCAATCAATTGGCAATTGATAATAATATGGCGGAGATTTCATGAAAATGTGTTTCCGACTTTTCTAATGTATTTCTATTATTTTGTATTTGAGGATTTTTTATGTTGGCTCTTGTAATGTGACGTGGTATTTTGGGATCTCCTATACTGGCTATTGTAATGTGATGTGCTTGGTTTACTTTTCTCCATAAGCATTTGGGATATTATGAGGAACGATGCATACTCACAAATATTGAGAGCAAATATCGAGAGCGATGGTGGTTGAATGCTGAAGACCCGTTCCGGTGCTTGGCCATTTGCATTAATTTGACTGGAATTTGTGTGCGGCGTATGTATTACGAATCCAACGTAAAATTTAATTTCAAAACTTCAGAATGGCTAGAATCAGTGGTCATCCGTTTTGAGCGAAATTTAATTTTTTTTAGGTGTCGAAAAAAATAAAAAAATGAAAAATTTCAAAACTTCACAGAATGGCTTAGAATACTTGTGGTCACCCATTTCGAGAGAAATTTAATTTTTTTGAGATTCCCCAAAAAAATAAAAAAAAATGAAAAATTTCAAAACTTCACAGAATGGCTTAGAATACCTGTGGTCACCCACTTTGAGCGAAATTTAAATTTTTTTAGCTGCCGAAAAAAAAATAAAAAAATAAAAAATTTCAAAACTTCGCAGAATGGCTTAGAATTCCTGTGGCCACCCACTTTGAGTGAAATTTAATGTTTTCTTAGGAGACGAAATAAAAATTAAAAAAGCAAAAAACCAAAAATACCATTTGGGCACCTCAAAAATTTTAAATTTCACTCAAAGTGAGTGGCTATAAGTATTCTAAGCCATTATGTGAAGTTTTGAAATTTTTGATTTTTTATATTTTTTTTTGCACCTAAAAAAATTTAAATTTCGCTCAAAGTGGGTGGCCACAGGTATTCTAAGCCATTCTGTGAAGTTTTGAAATTTTTCATTTTTTTATTTTTTGATTTTTTTTGGCACCTAAAAAAATTTAAATTTCGCTTAAAGCGGGTGGCCACAGGTATTCTATAAGACATTCTGTGAAGTTTTGAAAGTTTTCACTATTTGATTTTTTTTTCGGCACCTAAAAAAATTTAAATTTCGCTCAAAATGGGTGGCCACAAGTATTCTATAAGCCATTCTATGAAGTTTTGAAATTTTTGATTTTTTTAGTTTTTTTTGGAAATCTCAAAAAAATTTAATTTCTCTCGAAATGGTTGGCACGGGTATTCTAAGCCATTCTATGAAATTTTGAAATTTTTAATTTTTTTAAATTTTTTTTGGGCATTTCAAAAAAATTAAAATTTACCCAAAAAGTGAGTGGCCGCATGTATTCTAAGCCATTTTGCGAAATTTTTTATTTTTATTTTTTTGGGCACCTCAGAAAATTTAAATTTTACTCAAAGTGGGTGGCTACAGGTATTCTAAGCAATTCTGTGAAGTTTTGAAATTTTTGATTTCTTGATTTTTTTTGAAAAAATTCAACAAATCTCCTATTTTCCCGAAATCTGAATTTTTTTTTTATTTTCTCGACATTTTGATGATTTTTTCTGAAAATTTTCAATTTTTTTGGATTTTCTGAATTTTTTTTGAGATTTTTATGAATTTTTCGGATTTTTTAATTATTTTTATTCCATTTCTAAAAAAATGGATTTCTATTCCTGGAAATAGAATTTTCTGTTATTTATCAAACGGGTTTTTGTTTCAGGAAATAAAAATTGTGCTATTATCAAACGGGTTTCTGTTCTAGAACTAGAAATTTTTTGTCGTTATCAAACAGGTTTTTTTTCTCAGAAACTCATCATGGAACCAGAAATAAAAAAATCTATTTCTGTTTCAAGAACTCATTCCGGAACAAAATGGTTATCATTCGCTACCTAAGTTATCTAAGAATGCCTTAGACAATTATACCACAAATTATTCACATAGTAATATTTCTACAAAATCATAGTTATATATTATTAAAAATCATGCCTAATTCCCAAATTGATGACTATTTCGGCTCCGAATCAAAAAACTAGGAACAGACGGACTAGATTCCAGATCACCCCGAACCGAACCAACCGAACCGATCACCCCTAACATAGACAAATCTCTTCCTCTCTTCTCCCTCAATCTCTTTCCCTCCATCCAAACATTACATGACAATCAAAACCCTTTTTCTTTTCTCCCAGTTCGGTCTGAAAATAAGTCCAAAAAGATTCAAGCAATTCATCGGCTCCGCAACGTCAACTTTTTTCAAATCTTGGACCCGATCATTGGACCAGGGGCTCCAGGCATCAGACATCTGAAGAAATCTTTCCACAATGAGTTTGGAAGGACAGGCGACATTTTAACAGACGAGCATCTCAGATTCCCAACAGACCCAACATAACTACAAGAAAGACCTTGCGAATTCACATATGCACCAAGGAGTTTAGACTAGCGCCATAAATATGCGGCGAGGAGGAAGACGACAAACCCTAAAGTCGCAATACCCGATTGCAGAATGACTGGATCACAAGCCATACAACTAGAAATGCATATCAACGGAAGTAGCAACGATGGAGTCCATCAAACCGACACGAATACTGATTTACACACCCAAGCCAACGGCGAAATTACCGCCAATCACAACGAACAAGAGAGTTCACTAGGCTGTAAGCATGCCCTCAAGTAATGTGACCCGCAATTTCTGCCAGACAATGGACAGTGAAGACATTATGCAGCCAAACATATATATCTGAAATTGCATGTAGGTGGATGGCAAAGCGGGTTTCCAGTAGATAAGCCATCTTTTGAGCCCTCGAAATCTAGATCTTGTCGAGCTTATCGGCCCTAACCACAGGGTTGGCCTTGGCAATGGCATCCTGAGCAGCAGTTCTGTAATCAAATGGACAACCGTGTTTATCGGAGTAGCGATGGACCGAACAGAAGAGATTGCCGCACTTGCAGTTGAAGCCAGTCAATCCCACCCGCTTCCGGCAGGTCGTGCACCTTTTAGGACCCTCATTCACTTTCATGTCAACATCCTTGCTCATAGATGAACCAGCTGAGATCTCGGTCAAAATGACTTTTGCATCCACCGAACCAGCTTGCAAATCCAATATCTCAGTTGCCACAGGCACTTTACCATTCTCACTGGAACTTCTGTTGACAAAGCTCTCGATCGAGGAGGCGGCTGCTTGTGCCTGTTCTTGTTTCAATATCATGTCCTTGTGGCACTTTGAGCACATATTGGCGGTGGCAGCGCTTCCGAAGAAGCCACAGTTATTAATGCAGAGGATTGGGCCTTTTGGAGCCTGGCATCCGGTCTCATCGTGAGACTCCATTATTCTGATCTCCTGCAAAAGGACACCTCAAATTCTATCACAATGAACAGAAGAAGAGGGACAGAAATCCAATAAATCCTCTTCATTTAACAAAAAAGAGAACCAAAACATCGAACAGCAATCGCAAGAACAGGAAATAACTGTGACCCTTGCACAAAATGATTTTGCCAAAAGCAGCAATTAAGTTCAGTTTGTGATGTTCAAAATCATGCTCTACAGCTTCGTTCCGCAAATCTAAGAGCAATTATCAACCAGCAGCGGATCGAAAAAGGAAGAATCTATCAGTCCTATCGCTCGGCTCCAAAAGATGCATTTAGACATCCTAATACTATAGACCGCAACGAGCTTCTAATGGTTCAAAGACCTAGTCAGCGTTTATTAACAACAAGTATCCTGAACGGAATACTGTTCTAGCAAACATATAATCACCGCCAGACATGATTGAACCACCCAAAGGAAACAACCGGTGAGTCTTGGGTTCATTTTCAAATATCACAATTGGCCCCGCTTTTACCACTGGCTCGGCACACCACGTCACGGGTTCATTTTCAAATGTCACACTGTGAAGTACTTCCCCTAAACACACCTCAAGGGATCCCCTCAAAAAAAATAATAATTAAAGAACACCTAAATGACCACATAACAGCAGAACAATCAATCAGAACCCAAACTCAGAAGAACACGAGCACATAAGTTTTCCCCGCAAATGTCACCGCCTCAGCCAAAACCCCCCTAAAACTTACGTGACGGTTCAATAGTATGTTCCAATTACCCTAAGACGTCACTGTTCAGCACACCCAGACGACACTCCTCCCCCAAAACCAACAACATACCAACAATCTCGAAGGCGAGAAAACGAATCACCTCCAACCCCCAATTCCAGAAATGAATCATCACAAGCCCTCGCAACATAAACTAAAAATCTTCAAAAAAAAAAAAAACAAAAACAAAAACAAACCCAGCAAACCACAGACTTCAAGAGGCAGAGAGAGCGAGAAAGGGAGCGGCCCGGCTTACCCGATTCGGCTGATCTTGCCCCCTAAAAATCGAAACTTGCGTCCAATTCCTGCAGCACGAAAGACACCCAGGTTCAAATTGAGCCACACGAAGCCGAAGAACGCACCAACGCACAGAAAAAAAGCAGAAACGAAAGTCAAATCGAAGCCCCCGAGAAACCGAAGTGGGTAAAGCTCCGAAACGACGATTACCCCGCGAGCGATTCTCCGGAAACGATCGCGGGAACGATCCGAGGAAGGCGAGACCAGCGAGAATCGAGAGCGAGAGAGGAAGATAGAGAGAGAGAGAGAGAGAGACTTCTCTCTCCTCTATCGTCTCGATGAGGAGTATACAGCAGAGAGAGAGGGAGAGAGAGAGAGAGGAAGGACTTCTCTTTACTTTTTTTCTTCCTCCTCTGCCAACAAACGCTTTCCCACTGAGCCGGTTGCTGCCTGCCGTAGCTCAACGCCCCCGCATTCCCCGCTTATTTGCGGTTTTGCCACCCCGGGGGGGCGCACCCGGTGACGTGGCGCTGCGCCCTCGCCCCCGTGTCCGGCGGCGGTCGCCCGATCGGACGGCGAGGGGATGCGTCGGGCTCACGCGCGCGCGCGGGGTCCGGTCCGGTCCGGTCCGGCGGATCGTGGGGCCCCCGGGGCAGGCCGTGTCTTTGGTCTGGCGGATAAGGACGAGCTGGTTTTAAGGTTCGCAGGACATGCTACATTGTCTTTTCTCGGCTATTTTCCCCTCTCTTTTATTTATTAATTTCTGTAATTATTTTATTTCCTGTTAAGAAGAAAAGAAAAGAGATTATCCAGGTGTTTTTTTCCTTGTGGTAGGGGAGGGAACATTCATGGTTTGATTATTACTTTCTTTCCATCCTTTCAGATTTACTAAAAATGTGGACATTGATGAGTTTTTTTTTTTTTTGGGTTTCCAAATGGACCGGGCTCCGTTTGTTTCGCGAAAAATAAATGACGTGAAAATCATTTTTCCTAAAAATATTTTGTCGATGAATTTTTTTTTTTCGTTATTGATAATTATTTATGTTTAAACATTATCGCGGGGCGATGAAAATATTGAATGCAAGCGATCGCGTTTAAGAAAATGTTTTCAAAATCATTCTTCATTTTCCATAAAATAAACGCACGATGTAATTTGATACGACAGAAATGAAAATAACTCTTGTGCGTTTGTTTCACCGAAAACTTCATCACGAAGGAAAATATTTTTCCATGGAAATTATTTTCAGGGAAAATAGTTAATTTTCATTTGTTTGGTGGGTTAATTCCAAAAAAAAGCATCAACTTTAGGTTTAGGGACAATTCTGGCCCGAACTTTTTTTTGTCCCGTAAAAAAGCACCAACTTTAGGTCAAGGGACAATTTTGGCCCGAACTTTTTTTTGTCTCGTAAAAAAGCACAAACTTTAGGTCGAGAGACAATTCTGGCCCCAATTTTTTTTTGTCTCGTAAAAAAACATTAACTTTAAGTTAAATCCCAAATCTGGCCCCCATTGACTTAGAACCATTGATTATATAACTTGACTATTCCACATTAGCAATAAATCCAAGTGGCTTGCTGACTGGATTTAAAGCAATATTCATTGTCTTATTCTCTAAGCCACAATTTGAAGAATAACGGTAAAACTATTCGTCTCCTTTACTTCACCGACAAGTCAAAAATATCTCCAGATTGAATTTCTCTGGCCAAACGTAATCCGAAGCTAACCACCGCCTGTCGATAGACGTCATGGACGAGATTCGCCAAGCTCACCACCATAACTTTCTTTCTCAAACAATGGTGAAAATCAACAGGGGGCCAGATTTTGGATCATGATGAAAGTTGGTGATTTTTAATGAGACAAAAAAAAATTGGGGCCAGAATTGTCACTCAACCTAAAATTGGTGCTTTTTTATCGGACAAAAAAAAGTTCGGGCCAGAATTATCTCTCGACCTAAAGTTGGTGCTTTTTTATGGGACAAAAAAAAGTTCGGGCCAGAATTATCCCTTGACCTAAAGTTGGTGCTTTTTTATGGGACAAAAAAAAGTTCGGGCCGGAATTGTTCATTGACCTAAAGTTGGTGCTTTTTTTTTGGAATTATGCCTTTGTTTGGTGGTTTAGGGAAAGTATTTTTCCTTCTCGCCAAAAGGAGAAGTCGTTTTCTCCCGATCTAAATTCGTTGTTTTATTTATAGAAAATGTTTTCTATAAATCGATTAATTTTCCGTCATAAAAATACTAAAAAGTTGGAAAATAATTTTTCAAAAATAGTTTTTCTTTAAACAAACGGACGTTGGCTATTGTGATTTTGAGTATGGAGAACCAAATGGGATAGATTTGATATGGGACGTGTTTAAACCAGATCGAGTTGAATGAGAGTGGGAATTCCAACAAAGCAAAATCATATTAGTTGACTGGATTCTATTCCAACTTGAACATTGGTAATTAATTATTTTAGTTACTTAATTCATGGACTGAATGAACTCATTTTTATGGGAAAAATAAAAAAAAATTAATTGATCGAATATATAGACAAAATCTTTCATCTATTATTACGCAACTTATTATAACAAATGGGGAAAATATAAAAAAGGAAGTTCACTTTATCTGATTGGATCGGACCGAACAGCAAGCCCCCAAAACCGAATCGAACCAAGCCGGCATTTTCGGATTTCTTTTTTTGCATTTTTCTCCGATAGTATGAACCTTTATTTTTTTTTGGGTACTCACCTTCATGTGTTTTTTTTTTCTAGTAGTAAATTTAGTCGATTGGAATGGAATTTACTGCCAAGGGAACTTTTCATAAATTCACTAGCACGACAAAGGGGAGTGCTGCTTAAATTCAGTGTCTCTGATTCCTCCTGTGTCCCAGTTGGCTAATAAATCTTCTTCTGTTTTTTTTCCCTTTCATAATCGAATGAAACTTGTCTCTGATGGCAAGGTGCAAATCCAGTCCGCAGATTAATTAATGAGGGGCGGAGAAAAATATCAGGCCCATCTCCAATTTTTTTTGGGTTGAGAAAAGGGGCAAAACCCGAATGTTACGCCTCTATTTTTTCTGGTGAAACTAAACCTCTCGGTGGCCTGTCTAATGCTAGAGCGTTGCGAATGTCATATGATTGGAGCCCAAATCATTTTGGTTCTTTCGAAGCACACTTCGTTGCGTAGCAAGACAATTGATGCTTCAGGATAATAAAAGCGTCCGGCCCATGGGGAGCTTTGGTGGTATCTTGGGATAGTTTTCGCGTATCGAATTGAATGCTCCTATTTTCGGTTCATATTTGGTTATGGTCCATACTTGATGAGGTTTCATTGTCTATGAAGCAAATTCGAGACGTTGTATCGTATTTGAGATACACGGGTCTAGTCATCTGTCCACTGATTGATCCCTTTTGAGTTAGGATGCGTGTTCCTTTGCTCTTCTTTTTTCTCATTTTGTGTCGCAAATTTTTTTTTTGTCTGATTTATTTCTAAGAAGTGAACTTTCTTGAGCATCGTTTTGTAGACGAGAAAATTGAACTTCCGGTTTATCTTTTGTGAAAAATGTGACGTCAGTTGTCGTTTACGTCTAGAATGTTATGTCATTCGAGAATGCGAATTGAAATTTTACACAAAGTTTATTTTCTTGAATCATAATTTGTCTCGACTGATTTTGATAATAGAATATATTCCATTCTCTATCTCGGCTGCCTTCGAAATTTTGCATGATAATAATGGAAAGGTAACTAAGGCTTATGTTAAAATTAGTAATATAGCCTGTTCTTATGAAGATATCATTACGTATTAATATCTTTATCCACAATTTTTTTACATTAATCATCGTACCAATTTGATAAATTTATCTTGAACACCATTAACATTATTCCTTGCCTAACTAGTATCACAAATAATGATAGAAGGTTGGGGAGAGGAAAGCCGGGAGCGGCAATAGCAAAATATGGTCGAAGCCATGGTTGAACATGACGGTGGGATTGACGGTTGGGCATTAGGGTTTTGGCTCTTGGGTATAAGATTTGTTATTGGAGTTAGCATGGCTACATTTGACTGTCGAATCTATAAGAAACTAATGTGGAACTTTACAACATCGCGAGCGTGGATTAAGTTGGATCGCTACAAATTAGAGGTGAACAACAGGCTGGGGTCCAATTGAACCCGCCTAGGCTCGAAGGGCAAATGGGTGGCTTACATGAAAACGCCCGGCCACCCATATTCGGCCCCAGCTCGCCCCGAGTATTTCTATGCACAACGCATACAATGGGTGGGCTCGGGAAGCACCGTAGGCTCAACGAGCCTATGTCCGGCTCAGGTCCGCCCAACGATCACCTTTACTACAAATGATATATCAATCGCCGTACAAATTGGAAGTGTAAGCACATAAGATAAAGTGTTTTAGGGCTCGGTGTAATCCGGGGCTTTATGGCCCGACATTAATGAATATATCATCTCAAGTCGGTGAATTTGTGACCATCCCTTCATGACATATATTAGAAGACTATATGAAAGTCCCGCTTTGAATTGGACAGGGTTTGTATGGTGATCAATACATGAGTTTTCGAGTACTTCTATTGGGAGCTTGCCAATCTTGGATTAGGTCAGATCAAGTCGGGTCAAGCTACTCCGACCTCTCAACAGGTAAATTGAAGAGGCTATTCACTCTGCACATCCCTTGGTGATGAATCTTTTCTCCCTGGCCTCGGTGCTCTCAAGAGGTAAACTGAAGAGGTCAATCTACCTCCAAGATTGATAGGAATATCCATACTTCCTCGCCGAAATAGTTAACGAGTTTTGGGCTATGCCTAACTCGGCGCCGCCAAGTGCCGCTTCGCCTCGCGATTCGAGCCACCTTCCATTGAGCTAACCAAGACAAACAAAGTTATGCAAGAGCAAAACACAAATCTTTCCCAAGAAGAGCGTCATACAACGGCAAGAAACCCTTAATTTCCAGACTGCAAGTGAGCAAAAAGCGTGCACTTTCGTGAGCCACATCCTCGTTTCGGATTTGCCACCGCCACCATACAAGAGTCAAACGTCTCTTTCAGGTTTGGTAGCTTGCGACCATCTCGATGCACCTGTTTCAAGAAACCAGCAGTACCACATAGTGTGTTTTTCCATCTTCGTTAGCGTACGTCCCCCAGGAGTTGGATGGGAAACGTCAGTCGGGTGCTACAGAGATTTTAGCTGGCTAAAGCGAGTCCCCAACCGCGTGGTGGCGCTGCACTCAGCGACTCATCACCACATTCGCCATCATCTTTTCCATGAGTAGGTGTTGCATCTGATTCATTTCTGTGCGGCTATTTATGTTATAAGAACATGCTCGTTCCATATGTGTATATGTTCACTTGCTCCGTCTCCCTGCGGCCACAAATTCACCTCTCTCAATCTCTGCCTCCCTCTCGCCGATACAAAATTCACTATACAAAGCAAAAATGTCGGGTTCTGGCGCGAAACTCGCTGCGTTTGTGGTGCTGCTGTTCGTGTCGGGGGCTGCAGCTCAGGAAATTGCGCCTTTGCCGGCGATGCTAACTGGAGCCGGCTTCTGTCTTTCTGTTCCTTGCGTTCTCGTCTGCTGTGCTGTACTTCTCAGCCTGGTTCATGGTTTTTTTCAGCTCACGTGAGCTTACTTCGAAGAATTTTTTTGTTCTTGCCACGTAATACGACAGTGTCCTTACTGATATCGTGTACTTAGAGCTGGCATGAACTTGTAGCGTGTGTACATCATGTCATCATAAGTGTGCCATTTCCTTGAGTTCGCAAGAGAGAATCATCCTGAGTATCGTATCAATTCGTCATTTGTACTCATTTTTCTGTAATTAATATTCTGAGATGTCACTGATTGAAGATTTTCCATGATCTATTCTTGAATAAAGATTTTCATTTCATTACCATATAGCAAATCGTCGGATCAGACACATCGAGCACACACTACCAAAACAGATCACGCTTTTCCGCTAAAGCTTAACATCAAACGACAACAAAGTCGATTTTGTCATAAAGGATATCACAGTTCAAGTTGCACTAAAAACTGATATGCATTATCACAATGAATGAGAAACAATCAATAATAATGTTAGATGGACCTTCGACATCTGAGACACAAACAGGGCTAACAGTCCAGACAAAATCGCCCACCTCAGTACTCTCTCTATACATTACCAACTCCACAGCCATTTAATTGCAGTTTTCCTATCAAATCATGCCCCTCATAACTCAAGTTTGTGTAATAAATCAAAAGATCCAGTACCCATCTTCATAGGTAGCCCGAGGCAAATCCGAGCGGATGGGGTCTCCAAGTCGTCGACCAGCCCATGATATGCCGCATCAACTATGAACTTAGAAGCTGTCTCAAAGGACATCTTACTGAAAGGCGATATGGACTCTGCTATACCACCGAGCCTGTTCATCGGACGATAACCACCTGTGTGGGTCATAAAGTCCGCAATCAAGGTGAGGTGACGGATATCCACAGATATTCCATATGAACCAAAGACATTCTGCACCTCCCTTATGATGGTTTCTCTGGCAGCTTCTACGCCATATGTAGTGAGCATCGCGTGGATATGGTTGGAATATATATATCTAATGTCCAGCTTATCTTGCATTTGCCAAAATGCACAAAAATCCGCTCCGTTAGTGTGAAGCGCCGGAATCGCATCTTTCTCCTTGGCCTCAATTTTCTGTCTTCTTTTGGGATCTTCCCCATAGTAGATCACTTGATTCTCTTTGCAAGTAATCACTTGACAAGATTCGATCTTGCCAGAGCTCCTGAGGTACACCTTTTTCGCCACTTTCTGAGCAATCTGCATGAATAACAAGAATGTGACCTTCGCAATAATTGAGTAACTAGAATACAAGCCACCAAGATCAAGTCCAAAAGCAAATTTCATTTCCCCAAAATTCCACAAGAGACGCAAGCACAAATCAAGATTATATACGGCAAAGTTGCTTCCTCAAGAAGCAGGATGTAGCATGTCCTAGAAAAGGTCATCGACAGGATAGTATTGTCCAAAAGAGAGGCCAAGGAAGACGAAATATGCTACACAGAATGTTTTACAGACGGGTACAAGTACTAAAATGAGCATATTATCATAAAGGTGGTCACGGAAGACAAATAGCAAATCTATATCAAAGCGTGACATGTTCCAAGAGTCTGCGAATAATTTAAGGGGACAATCTATTAATTACCTGAGCCAACAATACATGAGGTTCATTAGAAAATCTGAAATGGACCTCAAAGTCCAATCCCTTTGCTGCCACAAAAATTGCTCTGTCAAACTCCTTGATCACTTTTGTTCTAACCCTGTTCTTTCTTTCATCATCCGACTTTGCTTTTTTCTTACTTTTCTTTGTTTTAGAAGGGCTCACAATCTCTGGTGCTGTCCCTGGCACTCCATCATCATCCTTGCCAATATCAACTTCATTAGCCTGATCGTCGTCAGTTTCTAATCCAGCAGACAGCTCCGGTTCATTCTGTTCCTCTTCATAACCATCCTCATAGTCCATTTCATCTGTAGCTTGTTTTTTACGTTTTTGCCCATCAAAACCGAGATCATCATTGTCATTGCCATCATCACCATCATCACCATCGTCATCTAAGTTCCTCTCCTCAGCATGCAGTGAAGCTGAACCAGACGCATCTTCATCAGTCTCGTTTGATGTCTTGGGTCTTACATCTGGTGAAAAATTCTTTATCCCACTGATTTTGGAGAGCAGAAGAAGATGATTCTGAATTGCATCTTCCAACTCCCTAAGGTATACTACTTCTAAGACCTCTTCACAGTGTTTTACTGAACAGAATTTAGGACTGTTAAGCTTCATTTTCAGCTTATATATGCGGCAGACCTGGTGATTATCCACTGCAAATGGCACAACCGCAACTTCCATACTTTCAATCATTTCGGCCACAGTGATTTTCTTTAATTTTTCAGCAAGAGAATCAGCATCATCCCTGCAAATGACACAAAGCACTGTCAATACAATAAGATAAAACATAGAAACTTCTCATGTAAATGCACATTCTTGTAAGTAGTAATAAAAAATTTAAAATCAAGGGACAGAAAGTAAGCATAAAGCCACTCAATGTCATGGCTTCGAGGCTTCAACAATCAGCCCACCATGAGTGCCATCCAAAATTTTTAATGTCTAAAAACTAATACAAAAAACAGCAGAGCTTTATAATATATATGGTTTTTCCAAAACCGGAATGTATTAAAATGTTCGCTTATAAGTACAGAAATTAAGCCACTAGCTAACGCATGCTACATTCATACATAACAAATCGAAACCCGGAAATAACTTAATGGCTAAGCAGTGAAAATGCTCCATTAGTAGATAAGGCAGGTGACTTCATGCTGAGAAGATATGACAGTTCTTTAAATTTATGGAACAAGAATAAAAATCAACAAATATGAATAAGTAACATCAAACACTTAAACTATGCTTGCATGCACAAACTTGAAAGACCACTGAATTATCTTCTTTAGGGAGAAAATGCTTTCAAGTCCTAAAACAGTGAAAGGCTCTGCAATTTTTAACCCTCTCTCTCTCTTGCATACACACACATAACTTCTCCATCCAACTCACTGACTCAAGTATCTACTTCCACCACCTCTAAATATCCTCTCACAACAAACAGCTTGTAAGTGGAAACGCAATGGATATTTCGAAAGCTAGAAAACCAGTTTACTAATTTAATCATAGGCACCTATGACTTTTCTATATGATGTTTCTTCTACTATGAGTAAACAGTTAAAACTTAAATCAACAAATTCAGATGGTTAGGCAATAAATGACCCTGAATTATTTTCAACCTGCTGCTTCTCAAATGAGTGGAAGTGACCAGTGACATACAATCAAACAACAATGTCTACCTAAGCTAGGAAACAGATAATTGTTCTCTTCACATTACTTTTGATAATTTGATTTCTAAAGAAAATGTCAAATAATTTAAAGAAACTGCAGGTCGACTCAAAGTTGCATATGAATAAATGAGACGAGAACTCCATAATGAACGCAACCCAAATAATGAAGATGCTCTTAACAAGTAAATGATGCAAAATGGATTTTGTCTTATGACTCTGTCCACCCCATTGAATGTCTCATACCAAAACCTTTTCGTTGAAATTCCAAACCCCAATGTCTACCTAAGTTTCTAATGGCTTAATGCACTGAGAAGTTCTAGGTCTTGACATTTTATATCATCTAAAGCATAGAGGTAAATAAAGCAGCTTACTTAGACTTCCCTCTCCATAAAGGACAGGTCATAATCGGTGTCTTAATATCAGTGGACGCGGTCATTAATATCTCCTGTAGGCGTGGAATTCCAAGTGTCACATTCATTTCTCCTCGACCAGCATGATGAAAAGTGTTCAATCTGGAAAGCCACAACGTTTCATGTCATCAGAAAATTAAGAGACAAGCAAATAAGGTGAATGCAAGTGTTGACAATAAGAAAAATACGCAATCATGTCTATATCCACAAGTGACAAAAAATTTAAATGTTCCTTTTCCTAATTTCAACGATAAATTTTAGTACGTTTAGAAGACAGCCCCAACAAAAAGTGTATTAGCCCACACCTAAACATGCATTAATGCAAGTTTGACAACAGATACTCTAAAAGTACACCATAGGACAAAATGAAAAAGGGAGTGGGAATTCAGAGAAATATTGAACCAAAGAGCTTTCAGAAAATATTTCGTTTTATTGTTCTGATTTTATCAGGAGTTTCTTATTCAGGGCAAAATGGGAAAAATCATTTCATTGAGAAGAAACCGAATATAAAACTAGGGAGGAGCGATGAAAGTTAATCTCAAAAAGACACAAGGAAGCTGATCTCAACAAGACACAAATCCATTACCATCATAGATTCTAAGCACTAAACTTCAGCTTCTGAAGTGACACTACTGCAATCTCAACCTCAAATTCTATGTCAATTACATGTAATAACTTAGTTAACTCAATTACATAACTCAATAATATGGTTAATCAATGTAATTGCGAGAATTAACCTGGATCCCCAGCCATATGCATGTTAACAAAAGCAAGCATGAATAACATAGCCTGCATGATATATGTTCAAAGATAATCAACTCATAGAAAGCAAAAAAAGCATATTTACGTCATCTGTGTTGATGGTTCTCCAACAGACTGAGCAGCAACTATGCCAACTGGTTCTCCAGGCTGTGCAAGACTTGAAAAATATTTTTGTTCCACTGACTTCAAAAAGTCTTCTGGCTTTAATATCTCGTTCTTTGCTAATTCAGGAACCGAAAGATTCCTATCACACATGAATTTTTTTGCTTTGTCCTTTAGAGCTGCCGGCAAATCTGTGATGTAGCCATTAGATTTGCGAAGCTCAGTGGAATACTTTGCCTTCATAATGTCATGATTCTGCGTGATAATAATGAAGGTATTATCAATGATAAAAGAAAGAATAGGTCTCACAAAAACAGAGTCAACCAGATCAAAGCTCTTACAGCCAATAGGGCATCAAATTTTGCCACAAAGCTTGTTTTATGGACATCAATACCATCTTCTCCATAATAAAATTGCACTATGGACCCATCCGCATCTCGGACAGTATGATCATAAGAAACTTTTAGGCATTCAAGATTTTTTACCAAGCATCTCTGCAGATACCCACTGCGAGATGTTTTGACTGCTGTATCGACTAACCTGCGGAAAAGCCAAAAAAGATATAAAATCAGGCAAAATCACAATTAATGTCAATTTCATTGGACACCACACCAATTTCTCAAAGCATGTATCTATGTGCCATCTCAAGCCAACTTCAAATTTTATGAATGATTCCCACATTACAACTCTTGTTAAAAGAACTCCCATGCGCATTCCAATTTGTTCTCGAAGTAGTTAATCATTCAATTAGTATTCAGACCTTCGTATGCAGCAGTCACAGAGCAGAGAAATCACCAAAGTCGACAACATATTAGACAAAAATGAAGTCACTTTTGTCCTTACCCATTGGCGAAAACAGGAATCTGGAAACATGTAGCCAAACTTAAAGGACAGAGAACTAAAAGCAAGGGCTAGCTAATGCTTAAAGTATATAAAGAAAAAAACTCAATTTGGTCAAACCCCATTGTTCAATTTAGTAGACTCGCATTTCGTAACTAATTAGATGAGGCATTCTGTACCAGCAATACATGTCATAATCCTCCTCTGACTACCACTCTCTATATTCAAAATTTACTTCTAAAAATGTCCTGTCAGTAGTGCCTTGAACCATCAAATAGATTTACCAAAAGATTCATAGTTACAAACACCAACCCCACCCCGCCCGCAAACCCCACCCACCCCCCTCTTTTTTTTTTTCACACTACCAGTTGGTTCTCTTTTACACCACTGAAACTTCAACCATTTGAAAGGATTTCACATCTGACGCCACCAGACAAGATATAACACGGAGGCTAATTCTCAAGCCAAAGGACTTCATAGACATGATTCCAAAGATTTATCAGCACAAGTTTCTGCTCCAAATGCAGCTGTGCCCCTTTATGGTATCACACTGGTGATTTCATCAAGGTAAGAAATGAAGGTTAATCCTAAGATCTGCTTTTCATTAACAATGGCAGCTCGAGTTGTGTCACGTTCTGTCACATTATGTTACACCGCGATTGCATGTAGTTTTGGAATAAGGCTTTATAAAAGCACTTTTTTATGAATAATTTATTCTTAGATCCTACTACTTATCTATTAATCATTATATTCGAGTGAAAACAAAAGTCACCATAAGTTTCAACAGAGGAATTCATTGCTGCAAAAAGATAAAGATAACCGAAATGACGTGATCATCTTTATTTTCACTGCATTCTCCCACAAAGTCCAAAGATCACTTACAACTTCGGTGAAATGAAAAATAAACATGCCAACATATCCACATAACCGTCTCAAGATTCCATGATCAATTGACTTTTGAAAAATCTTATCCAACAAATGAGATTGTAAGCAAATTACCCTTCACGGCCAGCCATACAATGGAAGTAATATTCTTGAGGCCGCAGACCAGTAAGAAACCGATCAATTATAAAGCCTCCAGCCCGAGATGCCCAATCCCAAGGAGGAAAGCAGGGCAAAGTCTTTCCAGAAACCATTCTAGGGACTCGTCTGCCTTCTAGCTCCTGTTGACCCAAATGAGAAGATATTTGCTGGAAATTTGCCTGTCAAGGCAAAAATAGGAATTTCTAAGAGTGCCGAAAGTATTAATGTATCGAAACATTTACCAATGAACTAGAAATCTGAATCAGAGAACTTTGTCAAACTTGGACCTAGTTTGATAGATTTCGTGTCACTTGATGGATTTATTAAAAAATATACAAGTTTCAGAGATTAATTTCATAAATGCATTGATGTCCCAGCATCCTTGTATGAACATAAATGTAGTTATAAGCATAGTCATCAGCATTGCGGGCCAAACCATAGGCATGATCCAACAATTAGGAAAGATCAATCTTGATCACTCAAAAATTCATTCTAGGTCAACCTCAAGATTGGAAAGTTGTAGGATCACAAGAGTAAATCAGCGACGAGAACTGCTTTTCTTCTTATTTATGCACACAATATCACTCTGTAAACTTACAGAACCATCCAATAGAACTAAATAACCTCCGCAATCAAAAAGAGGTGATGGAATGGCTTATTAGCAGCTATAATTGTTTCAATTTGTTCATAACCGGTATCTTGGACCTATGGAGCTCTTAACATTCCAGACAATCAGAGTTGAGTCTTTAAACTGTCAGCATGTAGCCTCATCAGATATTCTAATGCTCATTTCCTATTTAAACGTCTGACATTTTGTTACCAACATCCTATAGTAGTCTCTTTTCTACTTCTCAGATGATTAAGAAGAAAATGCCGCCTAGATCTTGTATTTAAGTTGAGTTGAATACATCACTGAGTCAAGTCAAACCGTCCAAGCTTTATCGTGATGTCTAAGACTCAAGTCAATGAAAACCATAGGCAAAAGAATTCCAATTATCTTCTAAAAACATTCAACACAGCTGGGTGAAGTCAAGCCAGTCATAAAAGCAGGTGGAAATGCATGTCACGATCATTCCACGGAGGATATATTAACCAGATACTGGAAGAATTGGAACATGAAGATGAAGAACATGTAGAGAAGACAAGCAACTTACAGTACCCCCTTTGGCCCCAGATATAGTCATCAGTGAAATGCAATTCTTCCCAGTGGGCTTGAATAACCCTTCAGACAGCAAATTCTTCTCGATCTTTTTACTACTCAACTCATTTAGCCTACTAATCATCCTCCTATCTAGATTGGTCAGGGCTGAATCTCCATTGCCGCGTATTACTTCTTCAATTTTTAATTGAAGTTCTGCTGGGTCTGTCACACAATCACATTATTAGCCACCCGATCTCAAGCACATAATCAATCTAATACAAAGACACAAAATTCCGACAAAGATGACTACACTACATCTAGAAGTATTGGACCAAGCCCGCAAAAAACCTGAAAACTGCTACTTACGGCCAGCCATCCAAAGCCTGTAATTATGTCTGGCAAAATGTAGGCCCATTTCAATAGCTAGATGCTGAAAATACAGCATTCAGGAAGAAAAGAACTTAGAGGGATGGAACAGAAAAAAATCAACCTTTTATATTTAATTAAAAGAAAGAGCATAACATCAAACATGATCCAGATTTATGCATCTGGCAGCCTGCTGCTAGATTTATGGGACGGAGAATTATAGTGTTCAAGCAACAGATACGGATATCACTATGCACAATAAAGAGGCTATCAATAGAAGTACCGAATACGATATTACTGGTTGTAAGCAGGATAAGCTTAAAAAGGAACAAGAACCTAACTAGATCAACAGCCAAAGAAAGTAACGGATTTGTTTCCATAATACTTGCAAGAAAGTAACACACCTATGAAACCTTTCTTCTGAACCCCAACAACCTCGCGGTGTACTTCCTCTCCACATCTTTCACATTCTTCAAGTTGTTGTTGTCTTTTTTCATCAATGTCTTTACTCAGCAAAAGATCATCTACTCCACATGTGAAACCATGCATCTGAATCATCAAGATCAAATTATGGAGGTTCATGAACTTGATAGAGCAAACCACCATAAAGATTTAATAATGGAACTTGCATGCTTATTCAACAGCCATTTACCTGAAGAAAAGCTGTAAATAACCGACTAAATGAAGATAGCAAAATTCCTGCAGTATTTGAACCATAAAGCTCCTGAACCGTATGGACTAGACCGTAGTCACCAAACTGAGCCTTATCAATGACCCCACAGATTAGGTAGTTTTTGAATATCAACACAGTATCTTCACCAGGCTCTTCATTTTTTTTCAATTCATCTTGCATAAATTCTCTTGGCTTGTCCTGTTCCTTCACTTTATCCTTGTCAGTCCCCTTTTTCTCACTGGGTTTATGATTAATCGCATCTTTCTTTCCTGGTTCACTTATCTTCCTGCCAAGTTTTCTTTTAAAAAAGTCAGATGGTATCTTCCCCTGCTTTTCCACAGTAAATGGCGGGTAACCTCTAGTTAAATGATCTAGAACTGCAGCAATCAACTGCAAAGAAAGGAGGAAACAGTAATTGTCAGTATGCATATATGATCCATGATAGGTCTCCGAGCGCATGTGCTATTACGGAATGGAAAAAAGGAAAAGACAAATTATTGTACAACAGTCCATCAATTTCAAATTTATTTTGCTTCCCATCTAGATTGATTTGATGAATCTTTACGCACATGTATCAAGAATCTGCCATATGACATATTATGACCTGTTTTCCTGTCCAGAGAGGTTCTGGTTTCAAAATTGTAGGCACGGGGCAGAGCATATTCTCTTCGAAATCAACTGCCACCTTTTTCCCAAGTTTCCTGAAAGGACCTGATCCAGCAGCAGAAACTCCTGAACTGTAAAGGAGGTGATTGAATTCATTGTAATTCAAAAATGTATCCTTCTTTGTAAGAATTGCCGCACTGACTATGTGATCCTGACAGAATAAAGACAATAGTTATATCAAACTGAGGTTAATAATAAGGAAAGTTGATTGACAAAAAAATGGAACCTGGATCAATGCTCTAATAGGAGAGCCATTGGTTGGTTTAACATATTGATTGTTTGCATTCACAATGTTGTAAGCTTCAGCACGTGAAATATCATCTTGTGGGAAATGGACATTCATTTCATCACCATCAAAATCAGCGTTGTATGTACTGAAAGAGCACAAACAAAATGTCTGAATGAGGTCTCACTAACAATTACAAAATGAACCTTAAAAAATAGAGCAGTCTATATCTGGCCAACCTGCAATTTGCATAATGCATCCGAAGTGTTTTCTCCCCCTTCAATACACGAACAACATGTGCCATTATACTAGGCTTGTGAAGTGTAGGCTGCATGGCAGAAATATCAAACTTCATCAAGGCCAAGGAAGGACAGTGGCACTTACTGACAGACAATGGTTCAAGTCGTGAGTAATTAGGAAAAACAAGTACAACATTAGCATGTCTTATCAATAACAGTACTGCTATACTTTTCTCCATGCATTTTACATCAAAGAAAAGTTTGGCCTTTATACTAAGAAATTTCACATCTTAATTCCCGCAGTATATTCTTGGGCCCACTTGAGTCCCTCTAAGTCTCTATTTATCACATGAACGCTCTTGGTCCCTGTACCTAAGATATGAAGTTATTATGGTCCTTCAAACGTAGAGAGGAATATTTACTTGTACATTGCCTCCCGAGTTTACTCATAGGAACACAAAACATAGAGAGGATTACACATGAAATAAAACAGGAAGCTCTACAACCTTGGGATGTTTGACGCTTTTATGGCTAAAAGAACCTTGAAAAGGTAGAATTGATCATGTATGTCACCCTGAGTCTCAGACTACTCTTTGAACCCAGAGTAAACTATTCAACAGCCAATCATCTCTCATTTATTTCCTGAATCTCATCATCTTACAAACAAGAGTTACTCAACAAAAAGATTAATGAACTATTGCTATTCACAACCGATTTCAGCCTAACTTTCACGCATCAATAATTGACAAATCTGGAAATTTGTCATTAGTGATTTTTCAGATCTGTTCTGGCATTGCCTGGCAGTTCGGAATGTCAAACTAGAGTATGCATAAAAGAAAAGTTGTTATTAACTTTACCAAATTGATCACAAGAATGTGCTAGGCTGCTGGTGTGCATAGGAAAATTGATAGGCAGGATCTACTAAATGAAAAGTTATTCATAAGTTTAGGTTCTATAAAGGATTGTTGCTATAAAGCAAATATGGATATGGTAATTCAAGCAAAGCAGTTAGCAAATGCCATTTCTCTAAATTTTAGCATTCACGCCATGGCATTCAATTTACGTGTAATTGTTGATTTGATTCATGCCATTAATCCCATGTTAATGGCTGAAAAGAATCAATTAACGAGAAAAAGCATAAGCCCAAATGACATGACAATAAGACTCTACTCCTAGCACAGCATCACCCCCACAGAAAGAAAGTGGTAAACCCCAACCACTCCCGAAAATTAAAAAAACAGTGCACATTCTTTCTTCTCCCAGCGTCAAAAAAGAGAGAAAGATCAGCGAAGTTACTATCTACAAAGACATAAAAATCAAAGGCAATTAAAAGTGACCACCCCATCATACTCAACTCACCAGCAGCCAAAATTGCTCCGGAGAACAACTATATGCTGAACGGAAGAATGCTCAAGTAACATATCGATATCTACAGCGTAATATCAGCATAAAAATACACTAGAACCCCAAAATGTTTAAAATAAGGCCTTGATATAAGCTGCTGAGGTTTATTTACCTTTCTCGATCATGTTGAAAAATAGATATGATAAGAGCCGTGTCTCTTCCAAAATGCAAATACTGACTATCAATGAGTTATAGTATCCCTTTTAGAATATTTCTCCAATGCAAAAACTAAATCATTCCCCATAACAGCTACCACATCATGCCACAAAAATTACGTATGCAACGAAGCATAAAAGAAAAATACAAAGAGACTAGCTTGTTAATTGGCACAAGTAACGAGAAATCTTTCTTCCTGCTGGTCATGAATTGGTCTTTCTGCAGCAATTAAACAGCAGAAGAAATTGCCAAAACAATTTGGCAGATAATTTTTATACAACAGTCCCATAAGGCAGCATCTGAACAACAGCTGGGGCCAAACTGCTGACATGGAAGAACATGCATTCTCTATGACACAGGAGAAAGTACAATGTCTTATGTAAGTCCATAAAAAAGAGGTAGCCAGAGCTGATAAGCCAAAGGAGCATTGTAAACAAATTCAAGAGAAGGGCCACATTTCTCTTAGTATCCAAGCAAGCAACACGAGATGAATACTGTCAAGTATGTACTACTGCGGAGTACCTGTCTATTGACCAGAACGATATCTCCATCTCTCAAGTGGCGATATACAATTTTGCCTTCAAACTCATTATTTGAACTCTTGCCAGCTTGCGTGACAACCCCTCTCGACGAAGGTAATCTCCTTGAGATTGAAATTCGACCTTTTCTAGCTGGTGGTAGTTTAAGAGTAGATGACTTGTCAATGTAGTGCGTTGCTCCTGGATGAATTTCTGTGCCATTAATAATAGCTCTCCGCAAACTAACAATATTCCAAGGAGTTACTCTCTGTCATTATAGGCGTTGAGCCAAAAGGAAAAACTCCATCAAGATCATTAGACTAAAACAAATATAATCAGATATCATGCAAAAGAAGGCAACACCAATTAGTAATGTAGTATTATCGAGCATCTAAGATTTTGTTATGGTTGGGATATAAACTTTTTACTGCCAAATTTTCAGCATTAGATCTGGAGTCCTAGTGATTTGAACACAAATTTTCCTAATAATGTGAATGGAAAAGAAATATTTCTTTGCTTTACACATAGGTAGAAGGGGAAGGGGAAGTAGAAAGTACAAATAGAAACAGTTCCCTGGAAGGAAAGACCGTCACTAAATCTATTCCTTATTCCTCTTGGTAACAACTGTTAGACAAACCCCAAAATATAGAGATATCTCCAGATATTAAAAGTTCCATAAAACATGCTGCAATTTTTTTAACGATGAACAAAGCTACACTGACAGTTGGATTTAATTTGCAAGAGGGCTTAAAGATCATCTTATTCTTTCACGATAAATTTGAAACGAAAACCATTTTACAATTTTATTTGGAAGTAGAACAATATTTTCACGACACCAGATAGTAAGAACGCATAATTTAAGGAAAAATGAATCTTCAACCACACTTCTCAAGTCGTGAACACAATAGCAGTTAGATAGTAAAAACTACAGAATAGGTTAGGTTTCACGAGAGGTACTGAAGACCTAATGCGCTGCATCAAGCATGCAATAGATTCACTTCCCAGACAAGTAGATGGACACCTCTTCCAAAACATATTAATTGATAATCCACATAGATCTAATCAATGAGAAACAAGCACTAAACCAACCTCCCCATCATAAAGTGTCATAGTACATTATGCTGGTTAAGCATAAATGTATTCTAGGTTTAATTTCGGGAACATTAATACCTTACTAGACCAATAATCAAATCCATCGCATATCAGCAGAACTTGCACTACATTACAATAGAATCTGAAGTAAAATACACCCTATATGAACTGGAGTGCAGAATTCTTCATGCTTACCTCTGGGTATGTTAATCTCAATGCAAAATAAGGGGGAATGCCGATTTCATTAACCGCTAAGTAAGGATCAGGAGAAATGACAGATCGACATGCATAATTAACTCTCTTGCCCATCATATTCTGCCGGAACAAGCCTTCCTTTTTCTCCAGCAACTGGCATATACCTGAAGCCACATCTCTTTGACCTCGACCTACCACAGGGGAAAAACTATTCATTTCCTGTCAATAGATCATTAGGTGCATAAGAGAATCCAAACATGCACTCCAGCCCAAACAACCAATTTAATTAGTGTGAATTTCTTCTGCAGCTTGCTTACCGACCTAAATGGGCATAGCATAGTGCTTTCCAGGTAAAAAAACAACGAGACTCTACTCTGCAAGACAGCACTTAGAAACAAAATTTCTGCTTTTAAGCTGATAAAAATTGGAAGAAAGTTCTATTTACCATTTCATGGCCGAGTCCTATTTATCATGATCTATTAATAGGATGATTTGATTTTAGAAAGGATCACGGTCTGCAAAGATTGGATCTTCAATTCAGTTTGTTACCTTGTCTTCAAAACTAAGATTAGAAGCCCTAAGCTTTCAATTTGGTGTGATTTTGATCCTCAATCCTCATTTGCCTTGAAATGACTGAGATTCCAAGGATATACTTGAAATAGTTTGCAACCTCTGTATCAGCTAGGTAGTTAGATTGTGATTTAGCTGCCATAAAAGAACTGTGATCTAGATTCGACACTAATGGGGACTAAGAACCAAAGATTGGGGACTAAAGAAAGAAACCGTTGACCTTTGGAGACCTTGGACATAATCTTCACTTGGTTTCATACGGTTGCAAAGAAGGAACTCTTTACTGTTTCTTGTCTATGCACTTGAACATGGAATGAGGCACTAAAACTGTTAGAGCACTCAAACAACTGCTTAACAAGGAAATGCTATGTCTACCAACTTAAGCTTCAAGATGCTAAAGCTACATTGGAAACAAAATGACAGAAACACACTGACCTGTAGCAGTTTTGCTATCAAAAAGTACATTTATCGATTGTTGAAGATCCATCCACCGGCTAATAAATGCACGTTGCGGCCCATTGATATGAGCATTCCGTAAGGAGATGTTGGCCTGCAATACCTTCCCCAATAGAACTGTATGTGGATGTTCCATCACCTGAAAAAAAGGGAACAACTTAAACACTAAGATGGAACATATCACTGAAAAAATTATAAGCTCAAAAAACTTTTCAAGCAAGAAAAAATTTCCACTATAGAATGAGGCTCCAACACAAATAATGCCTTATGATATGTGCTTATTGTACAGAGATCATAGAGGAGCATAACCATGTAGTCTATATTCTACAGATGCAAACTCAGTTTAAGAAGAATACAGTATGACTTTGCATTGCCATTTGACCCCTTCCGGTTCCTAAATTCAGTATTACTGAGATAACCTATGAAGGGATGTCATGAAAGCCAAGATCAGAGCAAAAAAATCTTTCCGCTGCTACAATGGGCTAGGAAGTTGATCCAGCATCTCAATCTTCTTAGCCCAAGTACTTACCTATCATAAAATTGTCATCTCAGGCAGCCAGCCTCTCCATAAACACATAACCAGGCAAACATGCAGACGACAACATGCGATTCTTACTCTGTTAGATCCCAAACATAGATGTGCATCCAGTATTATGCAGAGTGAATCTGAGGTCTAGCTAGATAAAACTTTGCAATCAAAACCAAATCTTACAATTTCGATCAGCACAGATACGTCCTAGAAGCCAACAATTCCTGCTTTTCAAGTTGTTTGAGTTTGCTCGATCTTAAAAGAAGCCATTTGGACATTCAACATTCTCTTGAAAATTAATAGCAAATAGTATCGCTATTGCATAACTTAGATAATCTGATCACGGAAGATAGTCACTCACTACTTATAACTACTGAGTGTCAGGTTTGGAGGTTGTGCATTTCATCTGTAGTATTTTCCTCCCCTAATCAAACACTTATAACTACTCTGACTGTCCAGGTGGACCCATCATTCTCCATTCCTAAATTTGATAAAGATGCATCAGACTGTCAGAGAGCAGCAACATAATCCCTCAAACCTATTATAAGCTGACCAATAAAGATCAAAGGTAAGATAAAAGAGATGACCAAAAAATCATGTTCAGCAACTTCGTACCTAGTGTTTTTAGAAACATAAGCATGACAATGAGCATCTCCGAGGACATCTTGTATTGTTATGTTCAGGCAACCTGATGAGATTTGACGTATTAAGAGAGCGTAGAAGCTACAAGTTCCGGGCCATCTAAAATCTTTGTTTTGATAAAGAGGATTTCAGGCTCATTAGCCTTGTAATTTCTGTAAATGGTATTAATGCTGAAGTGCTATTTGATTGCCTGAAAATTTTCATCTATAAGCTGGTTTCTGCTTCTGAAATTTCTTTTGATTACAGGAAGGAAAATTCTTGATTTTGTTTTAGTCAATAATGAATGCCTAGTATATCAGATTGCCATTAAAGTGCTGGCTAAATGGCTAAGATTTGTTGTCAATAAGCTTGTTTCTGCTTATCAAAATGATTTTGTTACATGAAGAAAAATTCTTGATTTTGTTTCAATCAACTGACCAATGCCTTGATAGCCTTCTAAAATCAGCTGTCCCTAGTGTTATCGTTAAACTCTATATTGAGAAGAAATTTGACCATTTTAACTGGAACTTTCTTCTCCACATAGTACATTCTCAAAAGACATAGGAGGGGCTTTCAAAAATAAGGAAAGTTCTAAAACAAATGTAAAGGCTAGATGGCTTAGAACCTTATTTTTCTGGCATTATGGCGATAGCCTCTTAAAACCAGTCTATTTACGAATTTTTAATTCTTTTCAGGCTATAGATAGGACAAACCTTAATGCTCTTCACTATACTTATAAAAAAAGGAAAAAAAGACAATAATTAGCCCAAATTCGATTAATATCATCTTGCTTCAGTCTACCCCACATAAAAGAGGGAAACTCTAATTTTCTTTCTTTCCTCGCCTTTAAATTCCTCCTACCTTAATTGCCACAAGACGAAAGCATTGTGCAATACACAAATAGCAAAAGTGCTTATCCACTTCATCCATCTGGGTTAATTCGTGTGGGTGAGAAAATTATCAATATCTCCAATCTTGTGGTTTGATAAAAATTTGGAGGTTAATTTAATCAATACTGGAAAACATAAACATACTGCAAAGTACAAACACCTTAGTTCACCAGTTCAATTGACTTATTGTTACTAATCATGATGCATCTCTTAATCTGCGTCAAAGTTAACTACACAAGAATTAAATCGATCTCCTCAATTCAGAGCTTACATAAATTCTGTTCTTTGTGACAAAAATTTGATTGATAAGGAATGAAGGTATACCCTGCCGAACTCCTAGCACCATCCTCTTTATTCATGATTGGAATTATAACAAAAAAAAAAGAGAAAACAAAAGACAACAACCATTTTTTGATGCCTAGTGGTCATTTAGTTTTAAGCATGATAATGAGAAAAGACATTGCCATCTCCGTAGCAAGCCTCAAAACAATGCCAGACTTCTCTTCACTTTAGACAGGCAGCGCAACACAAGAATAGGACTGTTAAAGACGAAGCATGCACAAAGAAAATCCCCCCCCCCCCCTCCCCACACCCATTTCTTTCTCTTTCCATATCTACTAAAATTATTATATGCTTCTCCATAACTACCAGTAAGATTCTAAATGTAAGAACTGAGAACTAAAAAGCAGAGAATGACAACTGTTTGTTTTCTTGGTTCATCAACAACAAAATCAGAGCTACATTATTGTCGCCACTCTATCCTAACGATGGCAAAATTTGTGCAGAAATGAAGATCACTTACCGAATCACCTCCCTTAGACGGGGGACGAAATTTGATGGGAGGTACAAGAACAGTCCCCAAGAAAAACATAGAGTGAGTTGCTCTATTCCCGGAACCCTGCTGCTGTATGTCACTGATAAATGAGCACAGTCGTGCTTCATTCTCCCACAGAAGTTTCATAATTTCGATAACCTATAAAAAAACGGTATGCAACATCAGCAAAAATGAAGAATTCGTGCATATGTGGACAATCTAAAATTCTTATGCAGACAGACAAGAGTGAAGCCAGATCAATGATAGAAATTAGCAAACCTCTACTGGCAATAAAGGTCTTGCGAAAAAATTCTTCTGCTTGATATACTCATCAGATAAACTTTGGCCCTTTCTTCTGTGCCCTTTTTTTGCAATGCCAATACTGTCAGGAGATACAAAAGTGGATGATTGAGTTTCAGATTCATTTCTGCCATTATCATGGAGGCCAACACCTTCACTATTTTCCATCTCGGACATATTTTCCTCGTCAGCTCCATCAAGAAATGGCCCATCCAGCTTGTTCCCTCTAATAATGTTTCCTCTAGTTTGAGCTCCGGTCATGCCACTCTATTGTTCAACCCAAAAGGTAAAAATTACTTGTGTGGAATTTCTTAATGCAGGCATAATAAGAGAAACAGTAAGGAAGCAATTTGCGCCGAGCACAACAATGTAAGCAAAACAAATCAAGCAGCCACGCATACCCAGCCAAGACTTGGCATTCACTTGAGAAAGAATTTGAAATTCACATAATATATCAAAACATGAAAAAAGAGATAGCAGATTAGGTTCATTTTAAAAGTGCAAGCAATAGAAACTATGCAGCCATGGCCGACGCAGACTGAAATTGGCCTTCGCTTAAGAATGAACTCCAAAATCCACACAGATAAGAACAAACTTCAGATTAGGCTATCATTAAATGTGTCATCGAAGGGCAATAGACAGGGCATACAGAAGTTGCTCAATGAGGATGTCTAAGACTAAGATGACACTTAAACATCAAACTTCAGCTGCTTAGTTATAAAAGCTATTAGTAGCCTCCTATGTCACTCAGACTCAGGTAGTGGTGCCAAGTATGAATTTGGATCTTGGTGTTTGATTTGTCTATTTATCATGATGCGAGACACGTTGACCGTTGGACATGGACTTGGCATATAAGCATGTAAAACTTGAATGACGCATTTTTGAAAATCTTTGTTCATATCATTTTAAGGGAGATTTAGATTCTTTATAATTTTTAACAATAAGACAAGAAACTTACGATTGTTGAGTTTGCAATATGATGTTCTGATATTAACGCCACGCCAATGTCAAATCCTATAGGCATTGGTGCATCACCTAGGTAGAAAAGTCAGACTGACATAGGTACCAAATTTCTAGAAAGCTTCCGTCACTAATGTATTTTCCACAATATATTTCAACTCACCTTCTGGAGATTCTCAAACAACTTTAAAAATTACCGAAGAAAAAACAACATACACTACTATTACTCACTTCTGCTCATAAACTCATGGATGGAGACAATTCAAAAACTCAAGCCACCGAAGCAATGCGCTTTTGGGGTGACACAGTCACTTTTTTCTTCCCAGGCTTTTTAATAATCTCCAAGTATCTACTCCCTACTTGAGTTAGCATTGAAGACCAAGCCCCAGTTCATATATTCATTCCTTTTCACTATGGTGTGTGTTTTCTGACATGTTAACTGTCAGCATATATTCTTGACTAAACGTGAAAATTTTGAGTAGCGATAAGTCTACTTAGATTCCAGTAAATCATACACAAACACTGGCTAGTCCAGGCACCAAAAGTGAGAGCATGCAATCAACGAACTAAAATGAACCCATAACAATGACAGATAAATCAAAATGATAATAACCAACGAATACGAAAAAGCATGCACATTTATAAAAGACTTTCCCTCATCGAGAATTCTCAAAAGGCATATCTCAACAGCCATACCATGTGGAACCAGCCAAAAGTAGGTTTACTGATCGCAGGATTTTTAGCTTTGCAGTTCTTACACTCCTTATACGTTGGCTTCAAAAACTTATCCAAAACTGACATCGCTTCGTTGAACTGAAGTGAGGTCCATCCTCCCTGCTTCTGATGCTCAGAGCTGTCGTGCTGCATGTCACCCCCATCACTAGCCTCTGGGAGCGAAGAATTAACCCACTTGGGATCCAGTTCTTTTGCGCCAACAACATCACCTTTTGCAATGAGTTCCAATTTGGAAACACATGCATCGACCTTTGTCATACAAAACAGCAGCATTAAGAAGCATGTCACCAGACACCACGAGAAAAGAATATCTATGGAGCCATAATGTAAATCCATCAAAAAACGAAAATTACAAGCAGCAATACTAATCATGCACTCGTTTTTCCCGTGATCGGGAGTAAAAAGCAATATCGACACCAGGTGCCGAGGAATTACCTGCATCCTACTTTCCCTGAAATGGAAGCAAAAGAAGCAGGTCCTCTTTAGAAGGTTATAGAGCGTGTTGAATAGCAAGGGGTTATAGACCGGGAAAACAAGGTCAATATGGCCGCAATGGCCGGGGCAATTGAACGACCGCTGGCCGCAAGATTTACAGCTGCAAAAAGAGGCGAAGCAGTTTGAACATCAACCACCCCACCACTTGAATTTCACCAGAAAACAAACACGCGCAGACCCAACACAGACCCAATGCAGTATGCACCGTCACTAGCGCCAGAACTGTAAAAAAGAGAAGCAAATAAAAAAAGCAGCAGACAACTCACGCCATTCTCTCGTCCAGCGTCCCCATCGCTGGATCATAGAGCCCGCCGGGCACCGGCCTCCCGACGTTATCGAGCAGGACACTGTTGGTGACCTTCACGCAGCTCTGCTTCCTCACCTCCTCGTCCGTCAGGAAGCCGAAGCTGACCGCCTCGACGGTCTCCGACACACCCTGCGACGCCAAAAGAAGAGGAAGAAAATTCACCAACACTGCGGATAGCCAGTCGAAAAGCCGCCGAAGAATCGCAAAAAAACAAGAAGAAAAGCTCGAAATTTTCGAAGCAGCGACATCGCTAGGACGAGGAGGAGGGACACAAGCGTGGAAGAGAGAGAGAGAGAGAGTCGACCTCTGCTGTGTGAGCCATGGCGGTGCGGACTTGCCGGAGACCTGCGCCGGAGGCCTGCGCGAGTGTTTAAGACTGACTGGTTTTCTTCTTTCGGGTTGGTGGTTAGGGTTTTAGCTTTGGGCGCGGGACGGTTGATGATGGAGAAGACGACGACGGGAGTGGGCCGAACCGGAGCGCAGGTAAATGGGCCTTAAAATTGGCCCAAAAATCTTATATTTAAGGGGGAAATATTCGGAATTTGTGTCTATTTTTCCTTTTATTATTCCGAATTTAACCATGATAGGAAATTTGAATTGTCTACATTTACGCAATTTTCCCATTATCCATCTCTCGAGTATAAAGATTTAAAAATATGGCAGTGAGTTACGAGGAAAATTATTAATCGTTTGGGACGAATACTGCTTAACTTTTCCATTGCATTTTTATTCGTATAAAAAGTAATGATCGAAAAAAAAAATGAAGAGAATCTAGGAAATGCCTCGATTTATAAAACATTCCGATGCAATCAAGAAAGGGCATAGAGTTTAGGTACCCAATTATACGAGTTCAAGAACTTGATTGAACAATTCGAAAAAGTACAAGGACTTTGACTTCTTTATCCCTTAAGAAAACTCTATTAAGTCGCCCTTAAACGTCGACGTATCGTCTAATATTACTTATAAAAATAAAATAGATATCAGAGAAAAGAAAAATGAACTTAAAACAAATTAGGCTAGAGTTATGGGAACCGAGGATCCAATTGCACCATAAAATAGTTCAAGAATCTGATTGAACAATTTGAAAAAAAAAATTAGAGACCTGTGGCGTCTTTATACCAAAGAGTAATCACAATAGTGACTCTTTTAAAAAAGTGTCAATTTTGTGCCCAACACTAAGGGTGCGCATGAATACCATTCTGTACCCGGGCGCTATTTCTGGACAGAAATGATTTTTTTTGATTCTGTGCCCGGAAACAATTTCTGAGTATTTGAAGGCGTTTGATAAACTGTCCAAAATTTATATTCCTAGAGTAGAAAAGAACAGAAATGCGTTTGGTAACTACACAAAATTTATGTTCCCAAATAATATTTTAATAATATTTTTAAATTGTTTAATTTTTTTTTCTTTTTACTCATTTTTTTCTTTGGCCATGGCCGGTCGCCGTGACCGGCCAGCCTGAGGCCGGCGAGGGCGTCACGGCCCTCGCCGCGGCTGAGGCAAGGAGGCGAGGGTCGCCTTCGCCGGCGAGGGCAAGGGGCGGACCCTCGCCCTGCCAGGCGAGGCCGACCTCGCCGTCGTGACCGACGGCGAGGCTCGGCCTCGCTCGATCTGGGCGAGGCCGCCTCGCCCAGGCGGCGAGGGTCCAGCCCTCGCCCAGGTGGCGAGGGTTCAGCCCTTGCCCTCGCCGGCCCTGGGCCGTGGCCGATCGCCGGTGGCCGGCCCAGCCCAGGGAAGAAGAACACAAAAATAAGAAAAGAAAAAAAAGAAAAAAAACTGATTCTCAAAATTGTGCCGAGAAACAAGAAGCAACTTTTTTTTACTTCTTGTTTCTCTTCCAAAACTGTTTCTCGGTACAAATTTTTGCAAAAATGTGCCAAGGAACAAAAAGTTTACCAAACACATTTCTATTCCCAAACTATTTCTGGAAACAAAAGAACAGAAATTTTCACTATTTGGCACGTTACCAAACGGGCCCTAAGAGGAAGATATGGGACATCTTGGGCTTTTGCTTCCTAAGTCGGTTGAGTTGGTCAAAGACATAATATGTCTCACTTTTCCATTTACTCCATATTTAACCCTAACATGCTGGATTATTTAAACCTATACAATTTGTACAACTTCCTTGAATAAATGCTAAAAAATGTCTCCACTGTGACATCCTGAAAAAAATTAGTCCATTTGGGATTTTTATGAAATACTGAATTTTATGAATGTACTTGTAGTCAGTTCTCGCCCGGAACTGATCACTCCTAGGAATGCTAACCATTAGGGAAAGGCTAATAGGGGAAATTAAATTCGCGCGACTAAAGGAAATTCGATCGTGAATGGATTTCGACCATTAAATCGCGGAAGTGATATTTTGAGCCATTGTTGGCCGATCCAAGGATAGTTAGGGGTCGGTTCGCCACTGTCGTAGTAGTGGATCGCGGGTGATTCTGCTGGACCACGAAATGACTTGACGAATAATCGTGAACCTATACCGAACGATCGTACCCTCGGATCAAGTGATTGATCTTCGCGATTTTAATGACAACCGAGATCGTCACGTATCGAACGAACTTGCACCTGACTCGATTCAGTATCAGTCATGAGTCGATTCTGCGAATTTCCCCAACAAGCCGCCCATTAGCTTGAGAAACACTCAAGTTGCGTTTAATAAAATTTAATTATTGAATTTAGCCCAATTTGGACACCGGAAAATTAGGAAGTCACGACGGAATGTTAGGACGACGTGCAGGAGACATGTGTGATTTTTGGGTGCACTCAAATCCTTCAGAAAAATTCGATTTGAGCAAGAAACGGAGAAAGTGACCAAAATACCCCTAAGAATTATAAAAGGGTATGTTTTAAGGGTAAAGGGCATTTTGGTAATTTTGCCCTAAAATTTTGATTGGATAATTTTACCCTTGGGTTTTTGAGAAATGACAAGAATACCCTTGGATATTTTGGGCAAGATTCGATCTCGGCCATCGGTTTCAGGATAAGATCGAATCTGGACTGTCGGATCAAAAAGATTAGAGAAAGGGTATTTTGGTAATTAGCCAAGTTGGTCAAGAAATTTGACTATTTAAGTCAAAATTTCTCTCTCTCCTCACTCATTGTCTCCTCCCCCACGGCAGCCCTCCTCCACCAAATTCTTCCTCTCTCTCCCTCCCGAACTCTCCCCCACCGTGAAGCCCCCATCGCCGGATCACCGCCGCGCCGTCGCCGCTTGCCTTTGCCACCGCCAAGCCGCACCGCCGTCCCCGCCATTTGCCGCCGCGCTACGTTCTAGCCGCTTTAGTCTAGAACCAAGTAAGTTGTAATCTAAACCTCGCCTAGGACGTCAGGTATTTTTTCGGACTCGTTTGGGTGCGGTTTAGGGGATTTAGAGGTTGATTAAGGCGTTGATAATGGTTATTGGTGGTTGATCATGGTTATTGGTGGCTGAGTATGGCTGTTAGTGGTTGTTGTGGGTTGGATTAGACGTCGGAAAATGAGTTTTGGCGGTTGGAATTCGGTAGAAATCGGTTCGGGTTTGAATCCGTGAGGTTCGGGGTGAATAGCGGATTCGCTGTTACTGTACCCGCTCGGTTTTCTATTTTTGTAAAAAAAAATTTGGGCCGAATTTGAGGAAGGTTTCTTCATAAAAGTTGTTCCCAACATCTTGAGGTATAACATACTTTAATTTGGGAATTTTTGGAGATCATTTGAGGCCATTCGGAAGTCCATCTTTGGACCGAAATAAAACTGTCCGATTTACTGTTCACCCGACCTTCGGGTCTGTTCGAATTTTTATAAATTTTTCCAGGCCTATTTTCAAAATACTTCCTCACGAGAATTGTTGAGGACATTTGTAGGTATAACATATAAAAATTTCAAGGCTTTTCAAGATGATTTGGGTACCGAATGAGTTGTATTTTGATGGCCTGAGGGACTGTTCGAGCGAATCGGATTTTGTCTGACTTCAAGTGACCAAAAGAGGTGTTTCCAGTTGGAACTGAGTTTCGAGTTCTTCACGAAAAATGTTCAGCAAGATGTTTTACACAACGTGTCCGAATTTCAGAATTTTCAGAGTTCGTTTACTATTTATTTGGATGGGATTTCGGTCACTGTGTAAACTGCCCAGTTTTTACCCGATTCTTTGGATGTTTGTTTTGATGGGCGGAATGGAGTTGGTGTCGGGATTGAATTGTTGATGCCTTGTGGCTTGAATGTGTGTTATATGAGGTGATTTGAGGATGAAATGAGGATGTTTCGAGGCTGGATTGAGATTGGTTAGAGTGTCGGATATTGTGGGATGGAATTGGCGAGCTTAGGGCCCGATTTAAGGACAAATGGTGTCGGTTTAGTGTGTGGTAGTATGGCTGGATTGTGGTGTTTAATATGCTCGGAAATGTCGAAATTATGCCTATGAACGTGGCTGTGTTTGTGGGTCCATGAGTGGCCTTGTGTGTTTATTGAACAGTGATTTGATGAATTGAAATGTGTTTGATTATGTGCACGCGTGGGCCAGATTAAATTAATTGTTGAAATTGGCCATGTCGAATGCTGAGTGAGCATGTTTTACGTGTTAATTGATGCGTGCACGGGCCACGTGTGATGGGCCAGTTGAGTGTGGTATATGCGTGTTGAGCATGCGCATGAGTAAGAAAGAAATGTGGTGTGGCATGTGATTGTGGAATTTATGTGAAGGTGTGGAATTGCGAGTATTGGGATCGGGCAGAGTATCATAAGCTCGAGCAGCGATCACGTAGGCCTGTTGCATTTGGCACAGGCTGAGGCTTGAAAAAGCAAGGTTGAGAATCGGTCCGAGGTACGATCAGCTCGGGTGAGACCGGGATCGGACCGAGGCATTATAAGCTCGGGTTTCGATCATGTAGGCCTGTCGCATTTGGCGCGGGCTGAGGAAAGTGTGAATGTGGGATCGGACCGAGGCATGTGATGCTCGGGGCGCGATCGAGTGTGAATGTGGGATCGGACCGAGGCGTGTGATGCTCGGGGCGCAATCGAGAGGCCTGAGGAGTGTACGGGTACGCGGGCCGAAAGTGTGGTGATGAATGGTCGCAGTGTGCCTGAGGCGTGTACTTCAACGCGGGTCACTGACGAGTGATGTGGAAAAGAGGAAATGAGAATGGAATGAGTATGTGGGATGAGAATGGTACATGCGCGTGTTTGCATATGACATGATGATGACTGAATGCGGGTGTGCGCATGATTTTGCCCGATAATATTATTTGATATGCCTGCGATGTGATGACTTGATGTGCACGAATGTGCGTGTTTGTGTGTTTGTCTGGAGGTACGTGATAGTCTAGATAGAGTTTAGGTTGCAACTTATTGAGAAGTGTCTCATGGTTGTATAAATCAAACCATTT